ATGGGAGATGCTTTTTGTCTATTTAAAATATACTTTAAACCTTGAAATACCAGAGAATCTATACTGACTCGTTCACGAGTCATTACGAAACTGTTCAACGATAGAAAAGGGTTAACCCAGGACGTACAGTTCTGCAGAAAGGAAATAAAATCAGATGAAAGGTGAACGACGTTGGGTAATCAGTCACGAAATACGGCAAAATTCGCGAAAATTTTCATCGAGATGTCAAGGGAAAATCGATCGTGTCTCGACCGAAAATCACAGCTCGATTCTAACGGAATAATTCTCTGTCGGCGGTTTTCCTTCGTTCAACGGTGCAAGTAGATCGAGGTTCAATTAACGGCAAACCACCGACTACCATCCACGCGGTGCCAAAAGAGCGAACGAACGAACCGCTGCACGAGAAAACTAACGAGAATTAAAGACTAATTGCGAGTGCTGACCTGCTCGAGAAATGGCCGCGAAATAAATGACTCGTTTTCTAATTATTTTTGCCTACTGCCCACCGTCTACATTTACTTTCTCAATTCCAACCATCCAACGCAAGCTTCAACCCCTTCTGTTCTTTGTCTCACGGCACGGATTTTCCGTTTTACCACCCTTCTACCTTCTTCGTCCCAATGTCTCTCGAGTTTTTATCGCGACGATATCTTTCACGTAGGACGTAAACTTTCTTTGGCCTCCTCTCTCGGAGATATACAGAGACGAAGTAATGGAAATTCTTGCTCTATCACAGCGTATAACTTTCGGAATTATTAAGTACACGAAACTTTAATCTTTTTTATTTATTGATATATTAGTAGAATTAAGAATTTTCATTCTTCCCCTTTACTAAATTATCTGACAAAATTAAATTTCAATTTTAAAACTATTTGACATGAATAAAGTATCACTACTTGTCAAAATAAATCTGAATAAGGGATAGTAATTCATTTATGGAAAATTTGCACCTATTTCAATATTTCTTTTTTTCCATAAAATTTGAATAAATGCTCTATGATTTTAGAAGAGGAACTGAAGAGGAATTCATGATATAGAACTTGATCCTCGGTACACCTATACCTGACAACACGCGTTCCTCCGTTATCAAAGTTACCTAATTTCGCAAAGCGTACCATGTTACAGCTGCGCCGGACGAATTACTCGTTCGCGTTCCCCTTCGCCGATATAAATTTCCCTTTAAATCGTTGTTAACTAGCCGCCACGATCGCTTCGTTATCGCGGCGAGATTATACCCCACGGCGTTTCTTCTCCACCTAGCACCCTTCTTATCGTTCGCCCCTTTTTTCATTGGCTACTTTCGTCCTGAACTTTCTTTCGTTCGCGGTGTAAAGTTGTTTACACTTTAGATAATTGCTCTGCCGCGAAATTAGGTGAGCACGATGCTGTTGATATCGCGAAACGAAGAGACACATTTTTCTTTTTTTTTAACCCTTTAACTGAAGCGCGATTAAAAAAAAAGCTATTAGTAGGTATTTGATGGTTCGATATTTTCAAAGTTATACCTTTGTTAGATATAAAAGTAAAGTTTGGACTGAAATTTCAATCAGAGTTTGAATTATTAGAAAATTCCTTCGGTTCTTACGATCGATCAATCATCGTGAAATAATGTGGAACGGTAGATGAGGACCCATCTGGTAGACACTGAAATAGTGGTGTTGTTTTCCCAAAATTGGGAACAGGTGCAACATTTCAGCGTCGCATACATGGGATCCCCATACATCATGACTCCCAAAAAAACGCATACAAATTTCATGATACCGCGTGGGAAATACTATCAACTTCCTTTATAGTTTCTCATTTACGAGAAAGTACAGAATTCCTGTACGTCCTTGATATATTAAACATTTTTAAATTAAAAGATAATTTCTTTAGAATTAATAAATACTGTATAAGAAATAATAAATAAATAGAATAGATACTTCAAACTCTCATTATCAACTACTCGAGTATTTTTGTCTCGCGCCTATTTGCAATTAATTAATTTTACAAGTATCAATCGATCGCTATCTTTAGAATCTTTCAAAGTATTTCGAAATCTAGTGTATGATTTTCTAAGAACGATTACTATGAAAAAAAGTAGAAAAGTCAAGAAATCTCATAAATCATGAACGATAGAGACGATCTATAACGTTGTAAGTAATAACAGCATCATTATCATTAATCGCGCGTGCCAAAGTGTTTGCTCTTTCAGAGAAAAGTCAAGATAATGAAGAAACTGTTATCACCAGATAACGATATAAATAATCCTGATAGAAATTTCGAATACACTCGAGTCCGAGTAATCGATAACTCTGAAACCATTGTTTACCCTTTGTATTCTTTGAAAATATCGGAACGGTACTTCCATCGAATTGCAATTCTATCGAAGTTTAATTCCCTCTTTTTGCATTTTTAACCTAATTTACAGGGGCGGCAATCAAACCGTTAAACAAACGTGCAACCAATATAGGTTAAACCATTGGATTTGCCAGGAACTCGACAGAAAACATAAAAAATTTTAATTAACTTTAGCTTCGCAAAAGTTGCTTTCGTTGTTAATAAAAGTTCCTCGAAAAATACTTTCCAGGATTATCTTTGCACCCATTCCCTGCGTTTCAAACGAACGAATCTCGTTTTTAATCCAAATGTTGGCTTTGCGATTAGTAATCATGTTGTTCTGAGATTGACATGTTACGATAAGAATGTATATAAATTATAATATTCGAATTATTGATAAATTAAACTGACAGTGTGTTTTGAAGCTTGAAATTAATTGATTTGAAATAAACTGCCGATGCAAATTGTTCATTTGTGGCTATCGCTGAAATTGATATTCATTACGTTGATATAATAGAAAAGCGATCGAATGTAATGTATTAAATAACAGGTTCTTGATTAATTTCAGTGTGCAAACTAATACACTGTAATTAAATAAATATGGGAAATAGGGTACAGTGTCTATTCCAACATTATTATAAAACCATTCCAATGGAAAAGCGTCTACATTTTAAAATGTAAAAAAACCCGCACTTATAAATCAAAATATCTATATTAAAAAATGTCTCGTTCCAAACAAAATCTTCTTTCAAAGGGTTAATAATATTTTCCACGTCCATTCACCCAAAACTACCAATCCATCGAATTAGTACTATTAAAAATTTATTAAATTTTATATTATTCGATCGTTATATCGCCTAGAATGAATAGAACCACGGGAACGATCGAGGAAATCGCGGATAAGACAAAGAATCCGTGGCACACGCGAGACCGTCGCAGGATGGACTTATAAAAATGCATGGGACGGATAATTCAGGATCGAGAAGCAATTTAACGGGGCCATATTCAAGGGGTAAAAAACGTTCGGCGTTCATCGATCGACGCGCACACGCGTACTTCCGGTGAATTGCTGGCAGACCAGGGGGACCGAGTGAAATTCTCATTAGCGTGGAGCGCAAGCCGCACTCTCGTCGCCTCTACATTCCCCATAAGACGGAGTACAAGCGGCTGAGACGGCCGCACGATATTGCTACGGCTACGGGGACACGGAATTCCTCGTACCGGAGATGTTCCATCGCATTAATTAGAAGGAAACACGGGAGTTGTACCGCGCGACATTCACCACTTTTCCATGGCGACCGCGTGTAACCCGATAATCATAACGCCACCGAATGCAATGTCCACATCACAATGCAGGATGCGTTTTATTACGCGCTCGCTGAGATTCGTCCGGCCAATTGAACGAGATATTAACCCCCGCATATGCAGAAAACTGATCGATATTTCACTCCCACCATTCTTTTGTTTATTTTATAACCATAACAAAAGAAATGTACCTCGAAAAATGCATGTTTTCAGATAATATTTGCCTCGAAAATATTTGTACTCTATGTTTTGACTTATTGTTTTTTAATTTAAATTATGTTATTTTTCCTGGCAACGTTTCAGGAAGAAGAACAAATTTTAAATGCAGAAGGTAAAAGATACGAGAGTATAATGTTAGCACTGCGAGGGTTAACAAAGTAATGGTTATGGATCACGGAGATGATACTACACATCATATACATTGGACATTTGCAAGGAAATTCAGACGCAAATTTAATTAACAACCCCTGAAATTGAAGGTCAACTCTGGGTGTTTCAGCAGAGTTTTGAGGCTTTCGGGTTAATACAGCTAACCCTTTACTCACCAAAATGGAACGGTCGATGATCTTTATCAAGAGTGGTTCCTAAGAAACCTCATATCATTTTTGTTCTAACTAATTTTAAGATACTGGTTACCAGCAGTCTTGATTAATCTAAATCGCAATAAATCCCAATTAATAATTCATTATCATAAATGTATGTACCTATACATTGCTCCCATCTTAAACTCTTTAAATTAAAACAATTGCACCGTTAAATTCAAATAAAAAAAAAGGCAAGCAATGAATCAGAACTCCGTTAAAAATTTCCAAATTAATTGCAACCCTTCGTACACATTACCGCGTTTATCCACGATCGGAACTTAAAGCATTACTTCGAACCGTTGTTCGCGTGGTATTATTTTAAAAAGTTGGTCCGAAAGGTACGTGGGTAGTTCGCAGTTTTTACAAGGTGTATTGGAAAATATGAAATCGTAGCTCTTCGTTTCTACTTACTCACAGAACCGGCTTCCCTCGAAACTTCCAGCCTGAAACTCTTAATTGTTACGCGAGTTAGTTCGAACCGAGTGAATAGAAAATGTGTTCATAAAGCTTGTGTAAGGGAGGAAAATCAGGATTCACTGTTTACGAGGGGGAGAAAACACTTAAACTTTTGATACTGAAGAATTAACACGTTCGCTAGTGGAATGAAGAATCAATTACACTGATATATAAAATAAAATAACTCGAACTATATATTATTTAAAGTTATCTTGCTTCCGAAAGTATCGTTTATTTTTATTTCTATTTTTATTATTAAATAAAACGTTACCCAATTTCACTTGGACAGCGAACGTGTTAATTTCTAAGTTAAAATTCTATGGAACCAAATAAATAAAAAAAAAAGAAATAATTTTATTTAATATACTAAACGCAATCCTCTTGCCTTTTTTCACCAGACGATTGCTCGTTTTTGACAGATAATCTAAGTGAAGTCTCGTTGTCCGCATTTTTCCCTACGGTCGGTCCCCACGTCTTCGCGGGTCGAAACAAACTCCAGTCCCTCTGCGGACAATTAAACCGAAAGTCAGATTCTTTGAACAATCACCGTGCCGGGTTTATGCAAACAGCTAAAGTAAACGTTTCAACGTTTTATTTGAACTGGCGCTGCAAGAACCGTAAACTCGATGAAAGATTCCACGAAGAATGGCAAATTGTTCGCGAATCTCGTGATCGATAGAAATGCTTTTGGAACGAAATCTATTCGGGAAATTATTCGAGAAATACGTGGCTTAACTTATAAATGTCTTAAACTATTAATAAATAATTTATATGGAAGAGGGAAGGTTTAAGAACCACATATAAAATCAATATCACGATACCTTTTAACTAATGATATATAAATTATCAAATTTCGTAATTACTATCATTTTTACAATTAAAAAAAAAAAAATATCACACCTTAATATTTGACCTCGTTAAATATTTACCTTGGACTGCACGCTATGTTTATAATAATCTATTAAAAAATTAGGAACAATAAAGTGAAATTTAAAAAAAAAGGGATTAACGTTAATTATCAAGAGTAGCAAAGTTTCTGTAAATTTAACGGTGGAAGAAGGACGATTAAGATTCGAAATAAAAGGAGCAGGATAACGTTAACCGTTTATCCGCGTAGATCGGTGTATCGAGGAATGGGAAGTTTCTTCGGCATTGCTATCCTCACAGGTGATTCTCTTTTCTTTTCGTTTGCCTGGGTCATATCTCCGCGAACCGCACAACTAGTTTCGAACTGTGCGGGCAGTCGAAAACAGGAGGGAAGGAGATAAGAGTAATAGTAAATTTATCGGCTAACACAAAGCGGAAACGGTCAAGAGAGGGCAGAAGTACGGTAGAAATAGTAGGTTCGATCCGAACGATGGAGCGTGAACGAAACTTTTCGTTTCAAAGTACGATTACCTACGTACCGTGGAAAAACTTGTATTAAGACGTTGAAAGTTCGCGAGATTTTTACGGTTGAAGGAGGCAACTTTTAAAACGGTGTACGACTCCCGGGGCTACCCGCGACCCGACGACCCTATGCAACTCCTTACGAAATTCGCAATTCGTCGACAGCTGGAATTATTATCAAGATATCGTGAAATGCTCTGCAATTTTCCTCGCGACGAACATTTTTAACGATGAACAACAAATTCTCGTATAAAATTGAATCTTCGACAATTACGTGACATAAAAGTTTCATAAAGTAACATTTATAGTACGTCAATTTAAAGTTTAAAGACTGACGAAAATTGCGATATAAACATTTCATCGATATTCTTAGTACAGAAAGATTGCTTCCCATTTGAAACCAACAATAGAATTCTAGAACAATAGAATGGCTAATTTCGAAAGATAAAAGTGTAGCACAAATTCATGACATAAAAGTTTCACAAAATAGTACACATAATGTATCAATTTAAAGCTTAAAGCTTAGTGAAAATAACCGCATAAACGTTTTATCGATATTTATTTCCCATTTACTTCAATTTCAAACCAGCCATGATAATCGAAAGAATATAGATTTCAACGAATGATAGAATGTAAAGAAAAAAATTAAAAATATGTTTGCTCAAATTATTATTGGCTTTATTCAATAGAAATATTCGAAATGCAGAAGATGTAATTGATTTATTTTTACGAAGACAATCAAAATGAAGATGTGCATCAGGACTTGGAGCTATCTATTAAATTCCACAGCAGAACTTCGTGATAGGAATCTCACCATGGGGAACCGTTGAGTTAGGATCCCCACGTGTGTAATTCGCGGAAAGGGTTCTCCTAATAATATAATTCAACACATGTGCACAGTCTGGGAAAAAGAACGAAATAGTAGAGTCTTGAATTGTAAGCAAACATTTACCTTTGCAATTCTTCTCGTATTGCTCGTACAAGATTCAGAAAGGAAATATTGAAAGCATTCTGTACATTTATCAATTCTAAACGAAGCAAACAGTACAGCGAAAGGTAAAATTAACCCCCCTACAAATTATTGAAACCACAACCCTTAAAAATATTATATTAAGCATGTCGAAAATTTATAAATTTGTATATATTGCGAAATAAAGTAATTTGCAATTTGACAGAAAGGTGCTTAAATTAAATTAATGACCTTAAGAAATTAATTATAGAATTTTTGAAAATCATAATTGGTATTATTCTAATTACTATTGATTGCGAGAAAAATCTTCGTTTCATAATGCTGATCATATAATTGTAATTGAAATTGTAGCAGAGACTTCGCGCAGCTTTGTAAACAGTTAAGTTTGAATGAACTCGTGAAATTAGACTGCTGACTTAAACGACAGCTACTACTTTAATGAAGATTGTTCTTCGTTCCATAATTGAAGCGCTAGGTATGGAAATAAGCTGAAGGAAGTCAAACTTCAATTTCCAAATGCAGCGAAACAAATATAAAGAAAATAATTAACACTGCAATGTAATTGAATATTTAACGCAGTGTGAAAATCAATATGGTATGCCTTTGTTGAATTCAACAAATCGACTAAGCGAATTACTATTAATCAACATCAAACGTTTAATAATAGCAGCATGAAAATGCAGGTGTAACATTTGCAAAATGCAAAAATAAAACAAATACAAAAAGAAATATTAAAATACCATTTTCAATGAATTGAAATCATCAAAGATACTTCCATCCAAAAGCAAATATAAATATTTGTAAAGAAAAACAAAAAGAAAAGTCCAAACGTAAACGAACGATAAAAATACATATAACAACGTTCCCTTTAAAACAAACCGACGGTAAAAACTTGAAACGTTCCCGTTACTCTGCGCGAACGAAACGTTTCCAGAAAAGAAGGGAAAAAAAGGAAAAATACCTGAGTAGCACTGGTGGAGAACAGTCTTAAAATAGGTTATTACAGTCAGAATCGTCGTAAACTCTAAACACTACAAACGGCGCTTTAAGCAGCGAGCGTATCGTAAAAACTGGCAGCAGTTTGCATAATAATTGCCAGTTTGTCGAGCATTATTCCGGCTGATATCTCGATTCGGCTTGTAACCGTTCGTTTCCGTCGTAAACTATGCGATTTGATATCGTGCAATTGCCGGTAATCGGTCGACGAATTAATGCGCTTACACTATCATTCCAACGACAGAAATTGGCAAAGAGTGATTTAACTAATAAGCTTTTCCACTCACTCATTATCCAATCATTCGAACGCGCGGGTAATTAAAGCTGGAATTAGGAAAGCTAGTGCATTCTAGGGTTTGTTACTTCCACATTTACTTAATAGCAGTGGCAAAATTAAGATTTAATTTTAGACCTTTCCATCCCTAAATCAGTCTTAATATTAAACTCGTAAAAATGAAATTATAATGCCTGAAGTCTCCTCCTCTTACATTACCATTTTCCTTGGGGAATTTCAAAACTTATTAATTTAAAGAAAGCAATCATCAAATTACCAAAATTATTAGTGATTCAATTAAATTATGACTTATAGCATACTTACCGGACCCTTCCAGACTCGATGGATGAAAAAGAACAGCATCGGTGCCAGGGTAGACAAACCGATCAGTATTCCAATAGCATTCGCCCAACCAGGGAATGTGTACTCTCCGTAGTGAGGCAACTCGTACGTATAAATTTGATACACGAACACCGCCTGATGAAAAAAAGAAAAAAAAAATGAATTGAATTGTTATTTCTTGCATAACTCCTCCGGGGTGCAGTGAACTCGTGGTACAACGACCAATTAAGAATTTGATATTTTTAAACGGGAGAAAGTTCGACGTTTTCTCCCTGGAGTGTTCTTATAACTCAGCACCCTCGAGCTTCAAGGTAAATGAAAATTGACCCCGTTTCCATCGAAATCCACTTCATGATAGACGATAGCGCGGAATCGATTGAAATGTCCCTGAAGTATTCAAGTACTCGTGAGTAATTTCATTAAGACACTAACTTGGTTTATTTTTATTAAAAACGTGATATTCAGGAGTATAACACACAGTTCTGAAAATTTAATGCTGAAAATTGCTTTAATATTAACAGTCATAGAAATCTCCAATAAACGAAGCCATAAAAATTCAATTTAATCAAATACTGCAATTAATATCGCGCTTAAAAAATTAGATATATTATATTCTGAATATCACGAATAATTTCATTAGAAACGAAGTGTATCAATCGAATTGATTATATTAAAATAATGATGGTTAAGTGAAGAATGCCAAAGTGTTCATCAACATTCACTAACCATAGAACACTTAAAGCTAATACCGTCAAATTGACGACGTGTATGATTCAAGACGTTGAACCAGATAGCAAGCAACCCTCATCCAAAGTTCGTAATGGGTGTTAAAACGTTCCCCTCGAGAACTTGGTACCCTTCAAGTGGCCTGTTATAGGTTCACCTACATAGCAAGTTCCGTTTTCGTGGAACGATTGTTCATGAAAATCAAGTGATCGAGAAAATCAAGAATAAAGGATAATAAATCAACGGATAAATCGTTGGACGATTGACCGCGAAACAAAGCTCGAACCATCTGGTTTCTACTCCTGTTTTTTTTTCTGACGAAAAAGGAGAACGAAACCGGCATCGTTCTTTTCACGAGGATCGATTGGATTCGTGTGTGGGACACAGGTTATCGATTCGATCTGTTGTTTTAAATCAACCCCGCAAGAGAAGACCGATAATCGACTGGGGAAGGAAAACCCGGCCGATTGAGTGGCGCGATCATTTATTTCGCCACGATTGGCGATCGCTAAAATGGAACGTGACAGGAGTTTGAGCAACCACTCCTCCCCAGAGGGGAACAAAAAGCGGGGGATGGAAACAAGCTGCCCGCCTATTTTCGCGAACGTATATAATAACTGTACAGGGTATGCAGCTTAAAATGTTTCGCCTGTATTCCGGGAAAAAAATTCTCTTTGTGTGCTGTGGTTTGCATGGATTTATGAAGGAAATGACACGGGGGGTCTGGCAACCGCGAAAACGATTTTTCTACGCGCAAGACTAAGTCGTAGAATGAAAGGATGAAAGGTGACTTCTACTTATATTTAGTAGAAAATAGTACCTTCGAAATAATAGATCTCCAACTTTTGAGAATTGATTAATTTAGAAGAAAAATGTAAATTTTAACTGCCACAGTAGAAATATCAATATATAGTCAGACATAACGTATTCATAGAAGTAAACGGAGTGCAGCCATTTTGTATGAAGAATATTGATGAAGCATTTACATAATTATTTTCCTTAGACTTTGTGCTTCAAATTGATGTAGGATAAGTGCTATTTAACGACACTTTTATGTCATCAAATCGTGTCAGACTATAGATGTTTCAAAAGTGCTCGCTTGGTATGGAACAACCTAATACGGCTAATGAAATTTCATACCACTTGACAGTTTGACGTTTATGAAAAACACTTTTTAAAGTTCTGAAAGTAGAGTATTCGCGGATAATGAAGTTAGACGTGACACCATGTATAAAAGCATAGAAAAGAAAGGAACGAATGGTCGTACCTCCTCGTTAAAGCGATCATCCCCTCGAGCTAGTATCATTCCGTGTGCGCACATTCGCGAAAGCTTGCGCACTGTAATTTTACATTTACAGCGACGATGGAATAAAGAAAAAAATAAAATACCTTTCACGTGGAAATTACTGCTTTGTACCTATAGACGATCTATAATCACGTTTCTCTTCTAACTGGCGTTAGAATTACTAGTTGTATTTCGCGTTAAACTTGCGCTTTGAGGGAAAAAACTACAATTTTGCGCGTGATCCTTTTTTTTTCCTTGTTTGGAAGCAAGTATCGCGGATAAAAAGGAATTTAACGCGAAAAGGAAGAAAATGAACGCTCGTTGTCCCTTGCACGGTTTTGCTGGTTGAATGTAACCAAGTTATGTTGCCAAGATGTGAAAAAAAGAATGCTGTGCATACTTTATGCAGCAGAACCAAGGCAAACACGGCTCTGCTGTTTACAGTAAACCTTGACGGTAAATATTTTGTCATATGTTTATTATAGAGATAATTAAACGCGCGTTATTTTTAATTCGGATTTAAAAGGATCAGAGCGATAGCAGAGAAAATATTGTTATAATATTTGAGTAATATTCTGCTACGCGTAAAGTATTTTCATTTTGCAAAAGTTAACAGATATATTTTAATATTAATCCTGTATTTATATTTATTACACGGTTAGTAAAAGCTAATAGTTTATAAAAAAAAGAATTTCCAAAACTGAATATTATTGAATTTGTTAATATTGAAATAAATGATTAAAAATCATTCACAAAAATGGAACTTAAGCTGACGTTATTATAAAATAATATCTATAAATACAATTGTAATTACTGGTTCATTTTATTTATAAATATTCCATCATACCGCCGGGTGTTATCTTCTCTACTACTACGAACAGTTAAACAATAAATATTTCAAAATGATCCCCGTCGTTTCTTTTATCGTTCGGAATGTTGTACCATGAATTTTTAACACCGTAAATAATCTACAACCGAATAAAATTTCACGATGTCTCCGATAAATCGTAATTCATAATTAGAGGTAGCAAAAAAAAATTTATATTTAACTTTTATCTTATCAAGCGAAGTAAAAGTATTTTATTGACAATTCAACCCCCTTTCTATAACTCCTTCTCAATTTTATTAATTTTTTCAAAAACTAAATTAATTTTGTAAGGCACCAAGTGGGAAATTTCAATTGAGAATAAAAAATTATTGCAATTATAAGGTGTCGTACTATACATTGCCATTTTCAATGTGGCGATTCACCATAGAAATAAATTTAATATCTTTTCCAATAATCATTAAGAAATAGAAGTTGCTAATTTCATACTAAATCAAAATTAATAATGTATATTTATCTATTCTAAATAGAACAAGAGTTATATCAAGAAAAGAAAAGACCAAAAATGTCAGTATTTAAATATTAATTGATCGATCAGCTGGGTGATATAGGTCTGATTTGTCGAGACTCTCGAGTGAAGGACAGAAATCGAGCACGATATACATCGTTGTTAAGTGTATTACGATAGAACAGGGTAAGAAATCTTAATGATGAAAATCAGAATGGTAGCTCGAGAGAATAATGATCATTACTCGGTTCTTCATCGTGCTCTTTCCGTATATTCGTTTGCCTCGTATCAGTGATTCGAATTCCAGCGGATTCGCAGATTTGTTGAGGGAGAAGTGGCCGCAATGGAACATAATTATTTGGCCTGTGATTTTTTCAACCACCCTCACCAACGATAAGGACAGGCTACGAGGTCATTTACTGAACGAGAGGACAAAAAAAAAACTCGCGGGAGATGAGCCTAAAACAAACGGGAAATCAATAACGTCGTGCAAAATACTCGTAGACCGAGAAACAAAACCGCGGTAAGTACCGTCAGCAAAACACTACGGAAATAGAAAGGATTAACGTCTTAGCTATAAGCTGCACGAGCGGAAAAAAGAAGGTGGAGTAAGAACGTTTATGTTCGGGGCACGGATTTGTTTAACCCTTCCGTGGACATCCGGAAACTCAGAAGCGTATCTGCAATTGGTCGTTACGACTTTTGGGTTTTCATCGTATTAGATATTTAATTATTCAATTAAATATCTTTTATTATATAAAATAAAAAACAAATTTGCTTTAAAATATTATTAATGTATATTTAATCCCTCGGTTCAATATGGCTACTAATTAAATTCACGACATCTCCAAGTTATTAACAATTATTTTAGAATATTCTATGTATTTCGTTGAACGAGATCGTTATTTTTTGTTTAGGTAAATCAAGCTGCATTGATTCGTTCTCTAGAGAGGCATTGAATGTACTTCGTTATTTACAGAAGTATTAATTTAACATCAAAAACACTAAAAGTAAGAGTCCTCGACTGACAGAATAAAGTGCTCGTTACATAACTAATGAAGAAGGAATAACTTGACCCGAATAAAAGAAAAAAAAATGAAAGATGAAAGAGATAAAATGTGCACTTCGTCTATCTAACATTTACAAGCTGTACGGTAAGTCTGATCAAAAGAATTAATATTTTTCTATTTTATTCAAATAACGTTATTAAATTTTTCAAGCTTTGACAATTGTTGTTCTCAAAGTTTGAGGAAATTTGGAGATATAATTCATGTCTATTAGGAAATTTACTTCAAGACTGCAATATTAGTAAGCTCTCGAACCCCCTGTTGAAGTTAGTTGCAATGTTTGCAGAACGTTAGAATAAATTTCCTCCTAGATACGGCTTGCATGCGAAACTTTCAACCAACAATATCCGTAACATATAAACTGTAATAACAGAACGCACGATTCGATGTTTTTGCTTATCTTCGGATAACGAAGCTAAAATACTCCAAATTCCAGGGATAATTGAATTAAAGTCCTCGAAAATTTCTATCGTTTTACCAACAATACAAAACTCAAACACTTGGAATACCTGTTCGAATTATCCAAATTATTCGCATAAATAAAAATCCAAATTTTCCTAACAACCCTAATTTAAACGTTCTGTCAACTTGCAACGATAAGAAAAAAATAAATAACACCTTCAGATAAGTCCTGCTGATCACGAAAGGGGTTAACACCTCCTTACCCTTAAACACATAAAGCAAAGCTATGTAACAAGCCGTCTGACACATCCTGCAGGATATTCCCAACATTTCACGCCATCGCTTTCCGCTCAGGAGGCGCAAAATGCCTTTCCATCGTTATCCGGCATTCGTAAAACAAACTGTACATCAGGATGGTTAATTATCAGCGAAATAACTGCCGCATAGTTTCTTGCTCGTATCCCGAAGATCCGGAACACGGAAACACGGTAACGCGTCAAGACAGGGGCACGAATAGTATCGGGATGCACTTACCAGACAGGTGATAGGCGCAAGGACGACCCAACTGAGCCACCAATATCCACGTAGCAAAAGGCCGAATTGCATTTGCATCTCGGCAATGTTACGCAGGAATTTGTTGCAGCCGTAACACCAGGATACCACGCCAACTTCCCCGATGCCGATCAATAGTATGGCCCAAGAAGCGGTGTTCCAGTCCATCAGGGTGAACAGGTAAATACCACCGTCGAAAACCATCGGTATAGCGAGTAGCCAACAAGTGACGCATATGCCAAGTACCACGTAGCTCTCGTGTTTTCGTAAATCTGGTCGTAGGTCCAATATGGCGGTGTTTATCGCTTGCACGCCTGCGAACTGTACGTATCGTAAAAAGCAACGACCGACTATGTTGCAAGGTAGATTCGATGCTCGCCCGCCGGGGATTCTCGTTACCCTTTCGTTCTCTCTCTCTCTCTCTCTCTCTTTTTCTTTTTTACTACAATTTTTTCTGTTTGCTTTTCTCTCTTTTTTTTTTGACGCGGTCCGTCTTAATTACCCTTCAACGCACTAGCTGCGCAGAGAGAACAGAGAAAGCATACAGAAAACAAAGGCTCTTTCGTTCCGTACCCCCCGGTAGGTATATCTGTCCCTGTTCTCCGCTTTCGTTTCCAGTCTTGTTCGTTTACCTTTCCAGGGCTCTCTCATTCGAAGGAAAAAGGGAGGAAGAAAGGTGTGGATTTCAGTGGGACGGCAAACCATAACTCTTTCCATGATATACGAGCCCCGAGGCGGACAGAGGGCCAGGCGATGCAAAAGTAACACGGCCACGATCGTCTGGCTACTCGCAAGCACATTTTCGCCCGCAGCTCTTTTGACGAACACAGCAAAACGTGCCGTTCCGGTTCTCGAGGCTCACTTGAATAGCGCCTTCTTATAGACGGCCCGTAGTAAGGACGAAAAATATTTTGCATTCTCTTCTGACCGACCCGAGTCCGACACCGTGCAAGCAACGAGACTGTACTTGAAACTTTAAACAACATCGAAATACCATGCCTTTCATTTTCAAAAGTCTCCACACTTCTGTCGGTTTTCCGTCTTCTCTTTTTTCCCCCCTTCCCAACCTCATTCTCTTCTTTATTTCGTCGAATACCTCGAAACCAACTCCTTGCACGGTGTTCTCTTCAAAGTGGGCACTTGATTTTTTTTAACGAGCCTTTAAGAAACGTCTCGGTTGAATTCTCTCGTCGCGTCGTTTAATGTACTTACTTGGCTACCGATACCGAGAATGAACAGCATCGTGAAGAATAGAACGGCCCAGACGTTGGGCCAAGGCATCCGTACCACAGCTTCCGGGTACGCGATAAAAGCCAGCCCCGTGCCGCTTTTGATTACTTGGCTTATTGGTAAGCCCATTTGCTTCGAGAGGAATCCCATGATGGAGAATATCACGAAACCGGCGAATATAGAGGTGAGCAGGTTCGTAATGGTCACGAAAATTGCATCTCTGAAGACAGAAATGGACAAATGGTCCATTGATCAATGGTTTACCGATTAAGTGCATTTCTTTGTTTGTTAGATATACATATTGGTATAATGCAATAATTTTTCAACCTCAAAGCTTTGATTTGGTATTTGAAAATCAAAGACTCGTGGTCCTTTGTTAACCCTCGGACGACGGACCACGAAGAGAGCCCCAATTTTAATTTAATTTTGTATTTTCTAAATTTTACACTGCTCAATATATGAAACTCTTTTGATTAAAAATTACACAATTAACTTTAGATTAATATCCTTGTACATGTTTTGTAAGTTTGGCTCTCGACTGACCCAGGCTCCGTTACTCAAGAGTTAACGATCACCGTTCTGAATTCAAGAACAAGATAAATTTCAAAGAAATAGAAAAGGTGTCGCGTGATAACGAATGGATGTCGAGTAGGGTAGTTAGGTGACGAGGAAGAACAATTAATAGCCAGGGGTAAAACTTAGCCAGCCGGCGCGGCAAGTTATGCTTCCTGCTGGCGTTTGCTCATTCGACTTGCGCCGTACTGATATAATTTATACGCGATGCAACGTGCAACGAATTGTAGTCGGCCGCGAGGGGAAGTTCAGCGTTGGATAATCATGCTAATTACGACTTCGAGCAATATTTCGAGAACGTGAACCGTTCTGTCCTGGCGAGTATCGTTTTACTTCCAGAGGCCTGGACGGGCTCGCCTCACGAACGGCATCGTACAAAATGAAATAGCTGACAGACGCTTTGAGCGTGTGCACAACGCTTAGATTCCCTCGTCGAAAATACCTGACCAAGCCCGGAAGCTGTAGCTTAAGCATTATGCGAGAGAATTACATTATTACAAACTCGACGATGTTTGTTCGGTGCGCGGAATTCCGTTCCTTGGATACGTTATCGGTCGAAACGACCACTACGGAATATTAATAGGCTTTGAATCAAAGGTATTACTACTGCTGGATATTTTTCTTTTTTTATTACTGAATTTCATTTGATCGATTGAAATATAATGGTATCTTTTTGTTCCTTCTTTAAGCGTGACGAGATTAATATCTGGTTTTGTGGGCTATTCGGTTTTGAAAATATACGTTTTGTATATAATTCTTTCAGTGGTCAAATACTTCAGTTTTGATACTGGTTTATGAAGCTTCGATGGGACAGTTTTGACTATACGCACAAATCTCCGTTTCGATGGACGAGTGTCGATCGAGAATGATATCCTAAAAAAATATTGGCTGAAAATCCACGATAAAGAAAGCCGATAGCTGGATGGAATACTTGACATCGTTCGACGTTATGATTCTTTTGAAGAAACTCGAAATAGCAAAAAATTTAAATACTTTTTGATGAAACGGTGAAAAGATTTTTAATTTACATTTTCTGCCAAATATGGAAGTGGCAAGAATTGTTATAGAGAAATTATTAAAATGATAATTGATATTTTGAGTGATTAAAAAAATTAAATAAAGAGGGTGAACGTAAAGGGTCCCGTACAAAAACAAAAGGCGTAATCTTCCCTCGAGATAAGGTACACCTCGTGACTTTATGATTACTCAGAAAACAGAAAAGTTCAACCAGAAAATTTTTCCACATTTTTTCTTAATATATTCCAAACACGCTGCTGTTTAAGCGTTTGTATTTGCGATATCTACACAAACTAAAGTCAGAAAATTCGCCACAGTATTCTCTTAAGGATTTAATTAATTAAAAAGATTTCAAAAGAATAGTGTAAAATTTATAAAATGAAAATTAAATTGCCAGTAAATATTGAAATTAATCAATAAAAATTAACGAAATTTGTTGCACTCACCTGTGACAATTATTTTTAAAATTACTGTAACTAGACAGGGTGATCAATGACCCGCAACCAATTCCAAGTGAGTAGAAAACTTGAGAAGCAGCTTGACCCCAGATATTAGTGGACCCTAGTCTGGACCAGTTGAACGTGATGAACCAAATTACACCATCCCCAGCGCCATCCAGCGTGGCACCTGCAACGATGCTCAAAATTTAATCAATTAATAGTTTAATTTGTGGTAATTTAACAATTCGTCCTTCTCGATACGTGAGAACCTTAACAATCACTTTAGGAATGGCAAGGGTTACCTAAATCCGGTATACCAGCGAGAGGAAGAAGTATACGCTTAATCGTATCGATCGCGAATTTTCCATTACACGAAAAGCGTTTCTGGCCCCCCCTCTTACCTCGTATCAGTAGTGCCGTGAGCATGACGTAAGGGAAAAGGGCGGTGAAGTAGACGACTTTGCCGATGGACTGGACACCACGCATCAGGCAGAGGAAGCAGATTATCCAGGCGAGGGTGAGACATCCCAACAATTCCCATCTTATGCCTCCGAAATGGTCCCACGTGGCTCCCCGTAGACCCAGCACATAGTCGCTGGATTCGATCAACGATAATATCCGATCACGATTACATGTTTTACTTTTCTTCGCGATTTTCTTGTTTATCGTCGTCCAACGCTTAGACGACCAACAGACGATGGATCTCGTCATCCGATTACAGACCGTCGTACCGTAAAACGAATCAATTCGAGTAAACATGGGTAAATTTACGACGATGTGGCTCGTTGTTCGGGATCTTCGATGTTTACATTAAAATATTTGATATTCCATTAACACGTTGAATGACTGATACTGGTATCGGAAATTGGGTACAGAAATCAAATATTAAATCAGTTGAGAAATGCAAACGCTGGGATAGTTAATAATAATTTTCCAATTCTATTTAAAATGACTTTCAACGTGTTAATGGGAAGTAGCAAAGCTTGAAATTCGAAAATTCCAAAAAGTTTCAACATTCGATTGTTCAACATACTTGTAATATTCCTCTGAAGACAAGACACGTTTGTACAATTGTCGAAGAGGTTCCACCCTGTCACCGTCAATACAGAATGTGCTATTACCCCCTTGAAAACCGTAAATCTGACAGACTTCCTTCGCAAGTGCGCAACCTTTATTGTAAAATACCATTTCTGGGTTTCCTTGTTGACACTCGAGCTCTTGCAGACCACTATAACAATCTGTAAGATTCAATATTATAGTTTTATATCGGACATCCAATATCGTTAGACACTGTAACGTGATAATTATGGGACGACGATAAAAAGCTATTGCCGATTGAAAGAAAATAGCTGTCCTTTACAGATTACGACGCGTTATAGAACTGACATTGTATGGGTTGATATTAAAACCTATAACTGTGTGAATACAGGCTGTTGAAAAAAGTTGTGTCAAAGTTTAGGATTTGAAATTGGTTGAAAATTTTGATTTGAAATGGAAAAATTTTATTGCATATTGGTAAAATTATCATAAATGTACTGTAGTAATTATAATTTGGAAGTTGGTAATTTTACAATAAATTACAGAATTGTTATTAATAGAATTATTCTATTAATATTTTATTGAGAATAATGGAATAGTAGAATAGCAGAATATAGAATACCTAGTAATAATAGAATAATAAAATATTCATAGAGGGGGATATTAATAGATATCCTTCGAGATATTAAAAGAAATATAAAACATATTTTTTATTCATTATGCCAAAAACTGTATCCCAGCAGTTTGACAGCAACTTTTTGAACCACCTGTACACATTCACGAGAATACTTTGTTACGATCGTCAGGAGACCAGGACTAATTATACTAGCGCTTTGTTGCCCTCCATCGTTTATTTTAGAGCTACCTCGTTCTACAAGGGATTTCCGGTTTCAAGAGCTCCCTTATGCGTTCGCACGTGCTCACGTTTTAATGATAATGTCATTAAACGCGGCAATAAGCTGCTGAAAATGTTTCTTTGTTAGTTAACCTAAGAAAAATTGAAAGAGCATCCCTGAATATTATTACAACAATAATACACCAGAGAAACATCGAACATTTTTATCAAATTTTGCCAGTTGCTTTCCTGGGTTTATTTTCTCATGGCAATGGAATTTGGATTTTCAATCTCATAATTAATCATTTCGGAAATTAATGATGGGAAATAACAAAATGCCAAGAAAACAACATTATTTGATATTAACAAATGGTAAAATAATAAAAAAATTTTTTAATTCAGTATAAAATGTTCAATAAGCTCGAAAATGTATTAATTATTATAAACCAGAAATCGAAAATATCATGCTGTAAATTTAAAATTATGAACTAAATAATATCATCAAAATAATCGCGAGAATCTCAAATTTGAAGGCGCAACAAATTCACAAATACTATGTCAAACAATAGATCGCACAGTAATTGGGTTGACCAATTTGATTTCTAAAGGACTCATTACATTCGACGCTTACCATTCGTATTGAAATCGTTGTCACAATAGGCCCATTTCAGCTTTGGCATGAACGAGACGAAAGTGTAGAAAAGAGTCCAGGCTACGATCACCATGTAGTAGACCATTACCAGCAAAATGACGACGAGGGTACAATAGCCGACACCCTGAAAAGCTGGTGCGATCCTGGTGAACGCTTCGTTAGGGCCAAGACCCGAATACTGTCCGATTGCGAGTTCCAGAAAAAATATTGGTAATCCCATGGTTATCAACATTAAGATGAATGGTATTAAAAAAATGCCTGTAAATACATACGAAAACCACATGTGTCGACAATAGAAAAGTAGGTCATAGGAACAATTACAAAAATATTTTAACATCAATTAAAAAAAAAAAAAAAAAATAATAAATGTAATAATACATTTAAAAAAATAAAAATAATAAATATGATAATATATTTAAAAATAATTAAAAATAATTAAAAATAGTGCGTGCTCAGCTGCGACAGCGACGGCTACGAGAAGCGCACTCATCCGTGGTCGGGAACAAACTACTCGGCTCGTCGCGTCGGTTCGTAGCCGACACTCCTACAGCCGAGCATGCGCACTGTGCGCGCTCTAATTACTCGGTGTTTTTCATTAATAATTCAAAAATTAAGCATTATCGAGTATTTTAGTAAAGGAAAAAATTGTTCAGAATCACCCTAGCTACCACCCCCTCAAAGGATACCACCCCTAACTAAACACCCTGTATTTAAACTTGAGAAATGTCGAACTGAAATTACTCGATCAAAAATTATGACCAAACTTCTCAAAATTATGACCCATGTTCATTGATTTTCAAAGAATCGACGAAATCGTTCGTGTAGCACCAATGGATATTAATGAAAATTGATCAAACGCCTGTTTAACGCGTCGAAATACGTTACAATAGAAAGGTTAAAACGGCTTGGCTCTGCTTGTGTTCTCTTTACCCCATCTTTTATTAGAGCCTGCCAGGGAAACAATGAAGAGCGGGTCTGCGTAAACAGAAAAGAACAAAACGTTCGGAGTGGAAGTAAAATAGAATAATTAAAAGCCAAGTGTTCTCTGGGATGCGGGTTCGTCTCTCTTTTTCATCGTTTAACAAATAAACCGTAGGAACGTCGGAGGATGTTCGTATCAACAGGCATAACCGCGGACGCAATCAGGAAAGATTTATTAAATTTCCCCGAACGCTCTGGTCACAAGCTGCCAAACTACGCTTAATTATTCGAATTAGCCGCTTCGTCACGTCGACCACGCGGCTCCGCGGATCTCCGTCTCCCTTGTTCGCTTTCCTTTTGTTCTTTTTCACAAGAAACGAGCCACACGCGGAAATAAATCATTCCGCATAATCCACTGGTTGGTTCGTTTGGGTACTCTGTGACTGTCTGTTTATCTAGCTCGACTAGACGTGTTCCTTGTCGAGGGGACGAGCGTCGCCATACGCTTATGCGCGTTTCTTGCAATCCGTTGAACAACACGTATGTAAATACCGAGTGTGTCACAATATGTGGATAATATGAATTCAACGGCGAATGACGCGACAGCGTTATCTAAAAGGTGAAAAATCACCTCAATCATCTAGCAAACGTTGAATCAAACCTATTTGAACTAATAATTAAAACAATTAAATTCGCGATCAACAGTATGAGCCTTTCCTATTATTTATGTATACCTAGTAAATCCACACGTGTACCGAAATTATGTCCACGTACTATGATACAGCCAGTATATATGTACTGAACACGTGTATATACGTACCGCCGTCATTAAGATATACAAGGTAAGGGAAACGCCAAACATTGCCAATGCCAACGGCATACCCGATGCAGGATAAAACAAACTCAATGGGGTTGGCCCAGCTACCCCGTTCAGGATCCTGTGCCAGCTCCACCAAGGCACCACCGACCCCGAGAGAAATCCTCTTTACCTGCCAATAACACAGGGCTACGTCATATTTGCCTCATAGAAATTATCACGGCGGTTTACAAAGGGAAGAAGCGTCTAAATCGAGGCGTCGCAAGAGGGAGAGACAAGAGCCTCGAAGCGAAGCAGACAAGATCGGGGTAGAGGGAAGGTGGTTGGAGAATATGCGAGACAATATACGGATGGAACGTAGGTAATGCGGAAAGTGGGAAAGCGAAAGCGCTTCCGGAGGACCGCTCAAGGTATTTACGTAACGAGATTAGAGAAACGCTCGAATCGAGTGAATTTATCTCGAAAGTCTAACCGGTACGAACATTGGTAGTTTAATCTGTTCGTAGCTGTACGCTGCGAACAGAGATAAGAAGCGTTGTTCTTTTCCGTCGGTCGCGTCGAAACCAACCTACAAACTCTAGTATTTTGCTTCCAGCTAGAGACCGCGTCGCCGCGGTCTCGCTTTTACCCGCTTGTAAATCCTCTCTTCCAGGCGACACGCTCGCGATCCTTTCGACAGGCGTACGATCCTCGCGCGTTCAACGAAGCGTCTGTGTACTCGACGAAATCACTGGTAAACCGAAATTTCCGTCGAAGCTTCGTTTGTACGGTTGATTGGAAACTCTGTTCCTTCCGAGGACTTCCGTTCAAGTGCATCTGTGATAGAACGATGTTGTTCTTACGAGAAGCTTTATAACAATACCTTTTCAAACAAACTCAAACCAAACAAGTGACTTTAGTAGATACTTGGAAATTTTCTTCTGATGTTTTTTTTTTTTTTTACATTGCAAAGGAACTCTTTTGAAAATAAATTGCATAGATCAAGAAAAGGTACTTTCATTTTTCATTTGTTGCAACGAAATTTCGTGAATGAAAATTAAGAATTTAATGAATGCAAGGGTAGAATATGAAGTTCATTAATGAAGAAATATTTTCCTACCCTGACTGCTCTGCTTGTTTTAATTACTACACTAGTGGAATTAATTCTGGACACTTTGAATAAAAATATTCCTTATTTCATATTTGTGCAGATAATGTATATTCTGCTATGCTAAATTGATATCGTAATATTTTTATTGTAATCTATAATGTTTATACTTAATATTTTCACATGATTTGATTTGTAAATGTTTTAAAATTTTAATTAAAAAAAATCTAAACTGTGTTGTTATTTTTGTTTTTGCATGACATGAAATAGCCAATCACAGTATGAAAAGATATCCAACGAAATATTAATCTTTTCTACCTTTTCCATCTGTGTATTAAAAGTATGGCTGTAAATGGTCTTTTTACTGATTTTTTTATATAAGAAACAATGATTAGAATATAAAATATAAATGATTATATATTAAATAATTTGAATAAATGCGAAATTTAAGTAAAAATTTAAAAGTGTCCAGAATTAATTCCACTAGTGTATATACAGGTTTCTGAAGAATCTTTCTGAACATGAGGAAGCTCATTAAAATCTGAGTAGAAAGCTTTCGTTGTCAATTATTATCTGATATGTATTTTAACATGAAAACGTCTGGAAGAAAGCCGACGTGCATTGATAACAATGCTTCAAAATACAAAACAGCATAACGAACGTCAATTAAGGAGGTACACCTGCTCGTAAGAATAAAAAGAACACGTATCTTTAGAAATTAATAAGAAAATACTTATGACTTTCTTGATAAAGATCTTTTATATAACACTCCTCCTTTTCTCTTTCCAACAAATTTCACGGTGCTACATAGTGTTAGCACAGCTTAGAAAGTAGCACAACGTTGCACATGCATCGACACTGAAAGCAGCACGTGTGTCAATATAATATACCATGACAGTGGATACGCGAAGGATTAAACATAAGAGCAAATAAATAAATGTCGTTCTCAATCGTCAATGGCAGTCGAATGACGTTCGTAGGAACGTCTGTAAAGCTTCTCACTGAAAGGGTTGACGAGCTGCCATCACGAGGATACACGGGTACAATGTTGGTTCGCGAGAGGACACAGGATTTTAACGAACAGGATTTTAGCACGATACGTATGTATCACTCGTATCGAACGTCCCAACGGAGGGCCGTCCATACGTGTGACACCTGACAGTCCATTGTCCAACGACGAATTTCCACGTTGTTACCGTAGTTTGTTGCTCCCCGATCACAAACACTCCCGACAAACGCAATTCGAGCTTACCTTTGGTACGTCCTCCTTGACACTCGTCATGACAACCGACAATAATAATAAAAAAAAGCAAAAAAAAAAATGGGGAAAAAATAAAAATGAAACTCTCCCAGTCGAGACGAGATATGACGGGTTACGACGCGGCTATCTGTACCTCGCCGTCTTCGACAACGCGATCGCGATCGTCTGAACAATCTCGCGTCTCTTAGACAACTATATAACTCGTCAGATAATCGAGATATGTAATCGTCAGGGGCCATTATCGAGTGCTGGATTCCGGATCCGAATAAAAGCGTCGTCGTAAAATATCGACGAACGGGACGCGGAAATGTTTGTCCGTAGGTTCGATTTCAATTCGTTCCTGATGATACGATATTAAAAGCGTAGCCGAGCATCGGGATCGATCGGGTATCGTTTCGCGACGCGACAGGTGTTCGGCAGCGTTTTACATGGACGCCCTCGTTTTCGCGGATTTTGTTTGATTATCGGCGTTGCTCGAGAGCCGTTGAACCGTATAACGTAGGAACAATAATCGACGCGTCGTACGATAAAACTATGACGAGAATGTTTGAACAGTTTCGTTACCGGTGATAATAATCTGTCCGATCCTGATAAGACGACCAGATACGAGATGCGTGTAAATTCGATCGTAGATTTTCTTGTCTAACACGGTTTAAATAGGCCGTTTATTAACTCGAGTTATGTTAATAGATTTCAACGAATCGATCGGATTTCGAACATTTGAAATGTTTGATTTCATTCACGCGAGAGATTAATGATGAATCATGGAATTATTCTGCGCGATTTCCGGGAATTCGAGGGAAACCACCGTAGATAAGGTGATATGAATGAATTGCGTTTTATTATGATTGCATTTTGAAATAACTATAAGATATTGTGTGCAATTGGGCATGCAATATGATGGCAGGGTATTGATATTTTACTAATAACATAAACTGATGTTCTAAATAATTAAACTAAAAATCATTATTCCTCTGATGCGTTAATTGTCAAAGTAAAGTTGACTTATTTTTACTAAATTTCATAAATGTTTCTCCTGTTTAAACACATTTTTGTATATTAATTTATCTCCAATTAATGCACAAATTTCAAAAAACCATTATATAATTACGAACAAGTACTTGAAATCGAAGCAGTTGATAATGATTGATATTAGCACAATCACAATCTAAAATTTAGCATGGTAATCAATTGGGAAAAGATTAATTCATATGAATGTATTGCGACAATAAATTACGATATTTTGTTGCAATTTTTGCTATCATTTATCAATTGTAAAAATGTAAATTAGATAAATTCAAAAAATACGTCGCAACAGAATCGTCACAAGAAAGCACTTAATGTTTTCACACGTCATGGTCCTCTGGTTAATCGTGATAAAAAAATGAAAATTATTCATCAACGGATAGCAAATAAAATAATACCGAATTAAATAATGCTTGCAAATGATAGGGACTTCCGCTGTTTTGACAAAATAATCAGTTTATCAAATATTGATTCTGAAAAGAAAAAAAACAGTCATTTCGTCAAAGTTCTGTTAAAATGAAAGTTTGCGAAAATCTCACGGTATCGACGAATCGGTTGCTTAAATGCCTGAATTCATAATATCAAAGGATATGATATATAAATTCCTGAAAATGTTTCGTAGCACTCTGAGAAATGTATTTCAATATTTCAATAACGTTTAACGTAGCGCGACACTGCTCGGCTTCCATTTACGTCAAACTATCGAGATCTTTTAATATTCATGCATAATATTTAAAAACTCCCTCTGGTTAAAGCTCAGTCGTTGGAAATTCATTCGCAACCATTTTCATCGTCAAATGAAAGAATAATATCGAAAAAATTCTGGTTCGTTTGAATCGAATTGGGATTCATTTGAATTCCATTTATTTCTATCAACAAATGTATTGTCATCGGATAGAACATTTATAATAATTATAATAAACATTAAAATATACACCCGTTCGATCAAATAAATCAATATCGAAGTAAATTGCTTCGACATTCGAACAAAAAATTTCAAAACTAATATTTGTTAATGATAAACGCGTTTTGCAACGAAATATCAAAGTTAAATGAACTTGACAATTTCAGAACACGAACTAAACGCTATTGACACAAAACTCCGTGCGACTCGAAATGCAATTTTTGAAAGTACACAATGTAAACACGTGTAGTGAATATTTTCGAGGTATGTTTGTTATTTCTGAAACCATACAAATGATTAATATTAAAATATTGGAACAACGTGGACCGCGTGTACTGATAAAGAACGTTGTCACAAAATATAAGTGAGACAGATAAATAAACGCGCTGGTAAAACATGTATTTTAAAACCTTTCAATTTTATCTGGTGACATATTTTAGTACCGTCAATATTTTTGGAGATATTCAATCGTTACACTCTGTTTGTCCCCGTACGATAAAATATGTATCTGGTAAATTAAAAACTATTTTAATTATCATTCGTTAAACGAACGAGTTAAATTGTACGAATATAAACTTTGAAAATTAAAAATTAATAATTAAATATAAGATAATACTTACTGGAGGAAACAAATAATTTTTTATCAAAATCAATAATTACATATGATTGAGAATTCACGAATAACATTAATTAAGAAGTTTTTGTACATTTTACCCTAGTGTATTTACCCTGTACATCCTCCACGATTTTTCTTTTCTTTTTTTAACAAACTGTGTGCTTTCCTGCGGACTATTCACCGCGAACGAGAAAACCGTTGATTAGGTGGGATAAAGGTAGCGATCCCGCGTCGCATACAATAATCTCGGATGATTTCCCAGACGATTTACGGGCCGGAGGCTGTTTGAAATTCCGAAAGTTGAATTCCGAGACGAAAGAACGTCGAAAGGAAAAACGGTGTGCTATTTTATCGCGGGTACGCTCGTCGCAAAGAAAAAAAAAAAAGGAAAGAAAGGTTTTATATCCGACCGAACAAGCAAAGGATGATCACGCTATCTCCCGATCATGTATGCAGGAACGTCGCTAGTAGAGGGGAACGCTTTTGAATTGGGAAAGCGAACAAATCTGCTCTACGAGTTCCGGATAAAAGGGACGATTTGCAAACTTGTTTCCCTCCGCGCGTATGAAGCCGTGGCTTATACTTCCCAAAGATCCGACCAATAATTCAAAAATTTCGTAAATTACCCACCGTATACGTACAATGCACATAGGGTCAGGTATTTCTGAGGATTTTTGGTAAAAAGAATAATGATAGTATCGAGACCATTGATGCTTTGATTTTGTTTAAATCAGGGTGAGTCTAACCCTCCCAAAATGTGAACTGACTCTTGATAAAAAGATTATTGTAATAAGTAAAAATTAATTCTTATTTTAGTCAAGCTAAGGAACGTGGTCCATCCCCTTGATAAATTCTTAAATAGCCCCTCAAGTTCCCTTCTGATAATGTACAAAAGCTTGGAAAATGGCGCAGAAAGCAGCCAATTTCGAATATTAAGGTTAGCAAGGAAGGATCTGTCGACGTGCCGAATAACTCAATCGGCAGAGAAGTCGTCCGACAAACAGAAGAAGGATCCGGGTTCGAATCACAGCCGTGGTAATCCGATCAATCGATTCTTCTCTTCCCTACGGCCGCCCCACCGGTATCCGACGAAAAGAATACCAGGAACAGTATTCAGCCGACGAAAATTCTTTCACGATCCGAGCTGACGTTTCGGTTTTGCATGGCAATCGGTTAATTTCAAAAGGGCCAATCGACCACAGGGGAAAAAAACCGCTAAGCAAACAAGCAAACAAACAAACAAACAAACAAACAAACAAAACAAACGAGGAAACGAACAAAAATCGTAGCCACCGGCTCGTTATTGCGACACGGAACGATGTAATACTCTAAGGGCAAAAAACGATACCCGTTGCTCTTTCTGCCGATAGGCTGTTGTTAGTTTATCGTGGCAAGCTTTATTGCGAACGATCGTGTATTCCGTATCGTAACACCATGATTCTGAACGGATCAGACCGATGGTAAATCCGACTACAACGTGAATAATTACGACAGAGAGTACACTGTATCTCAAATTAATGAGCTACCGTTGTTTTACTGCCACGCTTAGCGCATTCGAGTACAGAGACACAATGCTAAATTCTCCCAAAATTGTGGACAAGAATTTTATGAAAAGAAAAAGGATTTAAGGATTGAGAGTTTCTGATTACCAGTAAATCATTTTGAAAATATTAACCCTTTACAAACGCAAATGTATGTTCAAACATCATTCTCATAGTAATTTATAATTCTGTACTCATTGCGTTATATTCTCAGTATAAAACACAGCTATAAGTGTAGAGAGCAAAGATTTATAATATATGCTTTGAAGGATGGAATTATTACTTCTTCTACCTTGAATTAATAATACCCTGTTCAACCTTAGAAATGCTCTGTCTTCAAAGGGTTAATTTTACCTGCGATTTTGGGAAAATCCACTACTACGAGGTATGGCATATTCAGAATGCAAGTCTGAGTGACATAGAAATGATGATAATAATGACGGTAATAATAGTAATATTCCTGGTAATAATGGTGTTAATGGTGATAATATGAATAATGATAGTCTGCACTTGAGACACTACTACATATTGCAGAAATTTTGAAAGAAATATCCATTCTCCTGGTAACGCATTTTTCCCCGAGCCAAACAGAGTCGTTTCCACGGTAAACAGAATGAATGTTATCGATAAATTAGCCGTTAAATCGGCAGAAGCTAGCAGGTTCGAGCGAAGTCGTAGCGAGGTAACCCTGCGAATGAAATTAACAGAAGCGACCACTGCGGAAGGGATGCTATTGGCGAACTTGGTAAGCTTGCGTCAGGGTCAATATAGTACCGCTGCTAGGACCATGGCTATCTACAGGGTCTGTATATATGTGTACCGTTTTAAGCTTACCGTTTCAAACATTTGGCCAACGGCTGATTGTATTACAGCGTAATAATTACACGAAGGTACAACCGTGTACGCGAAACACACGATTCAGTCGAAACAGTCGACTACGACGCGTTGTTTGATTTACGGCCTAGGTCATTGTTATCGAATCATTCTGGATTGTGACGATGCGATTGCGTTCTACCGATATTTTTCGATACGCCCCCCCCTTTGATACTACATATTCTGCAGTGCAATAGCATAGTGATGGAATTCGAGTATTTATATTGTAAATATAAATTCGATTAGATAATGAGTAGAGTCGACCGGGGGCGATAATAACACGTTGAATATCTCAAAACATTGAATAGATGTTAACATAAATTTTGGATATAAAATGAAAAATGATATTTGGAATATATGTATCAGTGTCCTAACAGAATAAATTTTTTATACCCTAAAGTAACTGATTTTCACTGATTTATAATTGTAATATTAATATTCCCTTTGTAATTATGTGCTTGTTCTTTTTCTTAATTTTTAATTTGATCTTTTTTTGAAGTAATGATTACCGTCCCCGATCTACCTTTTAAAAAAAAAATCAAATGAAATGAAATTTTTTCTTACTTGTACTATGTGCTCTGTCACAGCCTGTGGATCTTTCGATTCCTTTGACAAAATTCATCTGACTCCAATTCCAGGAATACGTCCGATGATGGTATCTTTAATTTCCATCTAACGTGGGGGGTAGGCATTGCGCCGAGTGTATATCATCCATAATTTGCTATCGTCCCTCGACGCCTCCGTCGTTTCAATTTATTCTCCGCTTTACTTTCCTACATTCCCGTTTGCGCCGTATTTATTTGCATAGCGTCGTTCGCGTAGGTATTATACGGCTCCACGGCAAAGCTTCTCCTGGGCTTGGTCGGCTTTAGCTTCCCCTCGGCTCTACTTAAACGGTGAAAATCCAAATGGTACGCCCGACGTTGGGAGAGCCGATCGAAAAGCGACGTTTTATACGCTGAGCTCCACATTCGTCCACAACGATATAGTCGCGCCTTCACCCTCGTAGGGGGACCCTCAGGGTCATTTTTGACCAACGCCTGAAAGCTGCAACACACATACAAAAGTATTAGATACAGGAGAAATCACAACTTCAAATTGTCTATTTCAATGTAATTTTTGTAAAATGTAGTGGGCTTCTTCTTTCCTACAATAATAAAAAAAAAAAAATACATTTTCCAATTTGTACTTTCATTAATAATTTCTCTTGAATACTTTCAAAAAAGCAATAGCGCTTAAGGTTTTGTATGAACTCGTTTCAGTCGAAAACCATTGTTAATCTATTAAAATTCATGACAGTATCGAAGTATATGTACTCGAAACGATTATCGTTTCCGAGCTCGGTACACGAGCACGTTTTATATTGCGCAATAGGATCGCGTGATAATATGGAACTCTATTTCTCCAACGAAACCGTCGGTATGATCAATAATTAAAGGGAAAGAGCTTCTGGGCTAACACCACCAACACATTACCTACCTCGTCTACGCTAACTCTACTGTTTCTACTTTTCCACCGTAGTTGTTACCGATGTTTACTACTGCCATTCCGATGAATTCGATCGGATACGACCCGAGAATGGTAGACTGGCAAATGGTATTCTTGCCAATAGAGTTTGGCAGAAAACGTATATCGATCCTAATGGCACAAACGAAGTACAGTGTTCACGCAATATAATTTTGTATTGCTGTGTTAAGAGAACCAACGTTTTGAGAATCGTAACTTTTTCTTTTAAGAACTTGAGATAAGTAGGTTAACGTCAGATGAAAGATTATTTCGTCTTCTATTTTGAGAAAGTCATGAAACCGATGTTAGAGATGAACCAAAGTGTTACGCGACATGTTCTCTGAAACTTTATCATTCTTTCCTTTTAATTACCAATCAGTATGATCTATTGATCGTTTAACCTAATGTAGTTCCTAAATTCACCGTTCTAAATCGCAACAAAACAGTTGATAAAAATGAAGTTTTCGGTAACGACGGTATTTCAGATCATGAGATACGAAACCCCATAAGGTAATTGGTCTCTTCCGTATCTTATGTGTGGAAATTACCATTAACAGGTCTAAACATTACCTATCGTTCCAGCAGCGCTACTGTCGTATTCCATTCTGAACCGACGTCATGGCGGCATGACGGTCCTGAGGAAAATGGCGCTGTAGAGGTGGAGGCGCTGTATATATAGGTCAATGGCTCTCCCCCACCACTTCCATGTAAACGTTAGCGCGGGAAAAATCAAATTGATATTTATGCTATTATTGATATTTCTCAATTATATACTAAATTTTACAGTATTTAGTAATTAAAAATGATATTATTTCGTTTGTAAATCATTTTAAATATTAATATCGTCAAAATTAGTCAAAATTAATCAACGTTAATCAAAATTAATCAAAAAACGCCATTTTCTCCACGAAAATCTACTGTGCTTGATACTGTATGTACATACATAATACATACGAAACATTTTTATTTTGACTTATAGTATGACTTACATACTAAGTTGCTTTCAACAGAGACTTATACAAAAAATACAAAACCTAATACAATAATGTCTTACGACAAAATTCATTTATTCTATTTACAAAATGATTAAAAATGTAAATGATTAATATGAAATCATAATGGAGTTGATAATGTTACCATTGCAGATTTAATTTCATCATAAAGATCCTTATATTCTGAATGTTCTTTAATAAGAACCATAAGACTGCCTCTTTTTACACCCATTGCAGCACCGATATCTTGCCTTGAAGGTGTATAACAATATGGAATATTTTTATCTTCACATACAATTGGTAAATGACACATAATTTCTATAGGAAAAACGTCTCCAGCAAACACTACTAACCTAACAAACATATATAATCATTATGAAAATCTTGAATACTAAAAATTTTATTTTTAACCACAAATGTATATTTGTTTTACCCTTGTTCGCCCTTACGAAGGTGTTTTTGAACATCTTTTAATCCATTTCGAAGATATGTTTTTTGTTTTGAAGCTGAAATGGTTATGTTATAAATAATAAATATTACATTTTATAGAAAATTCTTGATATATATGAAATAAAAAATCTTAGAAAATTTCCTTTTAGCAATAATTACCTTTTTTTATACATTTATAAATCTTTTTTGCTAACTTCTTTGGAGCCATAGGTTTGGCTATGGCATTTGTGTATTTCAATTTTTCTTCGTAACTAAGTTCTATAACATCACCATCTCCTTCTTTCATACTGTCGTCAATTTCCATTTTAACCGTCACTTGCTCCATTTTTTATAACAATAATGGTTATTTTCAGTCAAAAATTATAATAAAATTGTAATTTTATTTGCCCACGTGCTTTTTTACGCCCAACCTATATGTTTGACGCGCTTTAATACTGAGGAACACTAACCTAAACTGAAATTATAGTCTAACCAAACCTGACGATGCATATAGTAAATTGTATAGTTTGAAATTGTATAGTTCGATAAAAATGATATGTAAATTTATAGTGTATTAATTTTATAAATAAATGTCCTTCGAAGAATATTAAATGCTTTGCTGAAGCAGCAGAATGCTTTTTAATTTCTGTGATCCTCGTTTACGACCAGAAATTCATTGTAATACTATTAGTACAGAAGGATATGAAATCAGCAACCTCATAAGTGACAATGATAAAGGATTCTTAGCTTATGCTTGTATCAAACCTCCTGTCAATATTGATATTACATTTTTGTGTAACATACGTATCAATCATATTTTAATTTGGCCACATGTTGGCTCACAGAAATCATCAGGTTTTCAACTATACTCCAAAACAAGTAATGATGCCAGTGTGCCTTATACTTTATTAGCTACTGGATATTTAGATCATTCAAATGTTGGATTGCTGTTTTATCCACCGAATGTTAATCATGAAACAATTTCTGCTCCACCAAATTTTTTAAAGCGCTATATGAAACCTTCTATGCAGTACTTAACAACATATATAAGTAATTTAAGGATATGTATATGTAAAACAGAAAATTCAGTACCTGCATTAGGTAAGATTGAAGTATGGGGAACAGTATCACCACGGTGTGGAAAAGATACAATGGCCAGTATTTGTACTTTGTGGTCTAAACAACAGTTTTCTATATCTGAATCAATAAAAATACCAGAGAATAATGATCCGTCTGTTACTACTATTAATAATAAGTAAATATAACATTACTTTTTACATTAATATAGTTTAAACCATTTAATTGTTTTAAAAATATGCTATTGATTGTTTCAGAGAAAAATTAGAATCATCTTTACAAGTTCCTGAATGTTTCTTAGATGCTATTACTTGGGAAATCATGACACAGCCTATTTTATTACCTAGTGGAAAAATAATTGATCAAACCACATTACAAAAACATGAAGAAACTGAAGCAATATGGGGAAGAAGATTAACAGATCCTTTTACTGGCATGCCATTTAGTGAAGATCGCAAGCCTGTTATTGCAAATGCTTTAAAAGCAAGAATAGATAAATTTTTACTTGAAAATAGTAATGTAGAAGAAATAAAGAGGCTGCCAAGAGTTTTAGGTCGTACATCATCTTCAGATACAACTGATAAGAAAGTATTAGAAATTCCTAAATATTTGTTAAAAGAGAATGTGTTAAATAACAGTTTAAGTGACAATAAATCCAAGTTGCATAGTAGAATAATGAATACACAAGAAAGTAAAAAATTTTGTCATAAACTACCAGTTATTGTAATGTCTAATAAACGAAACTCTTCCATTTCAAGTAAATCAGTAAAGAAACTAAAGACTGTTAATTTTAATGTATCATCTTGTGAAGAAATAGAAAGCAAAAAGATAAATAATTGTACTGCTGAAAGTGATAGTAATATAGATGCTGAAGTTAAAAAAGTAGTGCCACATCTAAAACGTTTTGATAGTATTTCTGAAATACATGGTGAAAGCTCTAAATCAAATAGTTGTTCCTGTTGTCCTAATGGAATTTTTTACCAGCTTCCATGTAAACATGTATTATGTAGAAAAGCTTTACTATCTATCCAAGATTATCACTGTACAGCTTGTGGCATGTCTTATAATAATAGTGACATACAACGGATTTATGAATAATACAAATATTTACTATTAATCGCGATAGTGACATAATTTATTTATATCATGTTCTTTTATTATCAATTGTGAATATTTTACACTAAAAGTATTGTAACTAAAACTTAATGATAATTTTTAATAAATATTTAAAAATTCCATTTCATATTTATCAAATATTAAGCAAAGAATAAATAATATTAACAATGAGTTTATACTAACTTGTATTTTTTAGATACAACGATCTTTTTTTTCCAGATGTATATTATGTTACAAATTTTTGTATATGTTATTCACACTTAATATATGAAAAATATGCACAGAATAGACGTATAAAAATTCAATGTTACATATGTATAATGCTTGAATTTCTATTATATGTTCGATAAGCTACCTTCGATATGTACATACAATATATGTTCAGTAACAAATAAAAAAACATGATAAATTTTGCATTATATAAAATGTTCTTATAAACTTTAAAAAGTATGTCTTGCATAAAAATAGGTTTTAAATTGTGCATATTATGATTCTGTGCATAGTAATGCAATTAAGAAAGTCTCATGATAAAGCAATTTAATTTAAACATTTATCAGAACAAAAAGTGGAAAACGTTGTATGAAATACGTGTATATAGATATGATAAAATTTCGACTAGCGCGTAATATACTTTCCAAATTATTTTTCAATTAATAACACAATACTATTTTATCACTTTTCATTATCGAAAGTATTAATTATTCCTTCTACTTCTGGATACAAGAATATAATCTAACATGTTTAATTTATATATTATAACACTCTAAATCCACTACCCTGACTTTGTCTTTTGGCAATATTAAATAATGATAATAAATAGTTACGCGAGTCGGGAGAAACGTAAAATGTAAGCGTACGATCAGAATGAGGAGTGGTATTTTCAAAAATATCAGACTGTCCATCACTATTTGTAGAAACACTAGCTAGGCCAGTGCTGCTACTTCGAACGTACTCCGCTACTCGTGCTCGCATTTCTTGATCCATCTATTAACAATGAAATTTCATTAAGTATACATATATTTACCGGGTGTTTGGCTACGGGTAGGCATCCCTTGAGAGGGATGGCAGCTGAAGTGATCGGCACCGTATCGAAGGCTTCGACTCTTGTGGATGAGCCTGCGTGCTATGTGCGCTCAGATTGCTCGGTGTTTTTCATTAATAATTCAAAAACTAAGCCTTAACAAGCGTTTTGTTACATAAAAAAGTTGTTCAGAATAATTCCAGCTACCACCCCCTCAAAGAATGCCAGTATATATATCTTACAATGTAATATATTAACAATATAATAATAAAATACCCCCTTTGCGATGTCATACCTCATATGGAGCCGGTGATAAAGACCTGTTTGTCTGTACTGTCTCAGGAGAACAGTATAAACATATTGTTGACTCCAAATGGTGATCGGCACTTATTAAATCTTTTAATAAATATATTCGTTCTATGTTGTCTTCCGCTGTGTTAACTAGTAGTAACGCATGTCTTGTTAAAACCAATGTTACAGCACGATTGCTACCTTGCTGAATCACATAATCTGCATTGGTGACATGTAAAATATTGCCATGATTGTTTTCAAGCAATGGTAATAACCACCAAGCATATTTAATAGATGTGTTATTATTGCCGGTTGTATACTGAACAACTGGTCTTTGACGAGGCTGTAACATGTTTGTTATTAATTTACTTCATTAATGGTTATAGGATACCCTTTGTAAAATAATTTACCGAAGGTAAAGAATTCCAGCCAGCTCCTTGTAGTAATCCCTGTCCTGTCAGCGCAACTAACTCTGCAGCACCGCTTAAAGGTTTGGTAACTACTCCAACTAATCCAAGTCCAACACCAGTGACAAGACTTTTAGTTGTTATCTCTCCTGATAAAACCTGTTGCAAAGGATGGTGTGCTAAACCTGCCACTGCAGCTAAATGAATACAATAAAAATGTATGTAATTATCTTGTATAATACACTATATAATAAATTTAAATGAAATATTCTCGTATACCAAGAAGACTCATTCCCAGCCCAGTTAAACCCTGATAGAATCCTTGTGCCATGCCCTGAGGACGCATTCTACGAGACTCTTCTTGTCGTTGCAAATGTTCTTCGTCCAAAGTTAAGCGATCTAAATTTCGCGCTACACTTGATGCTAATTTAGTCACCGAATTTAGAGTACCTAGATAAAATTTAATTATGAGATAATAAAGATACACATTTACTACTACTTCACACATATGTAAATGTCGGTACCTGCTGTAACGTGTCTCATTAAACTGGCCGAGCCATGTGTTATACCAACAATGAAACCCCATGGCCCTTGCAATAAACCTTGGAATGGAAGAGAAACAAAATCGCGAAGTCCCGATCCAAGAGCTTGTGCTAAACTTCCTGGTGAACCTAGTATTTCTAAAGATCCAACTACCCAACCTGGAATACATTTTAAATAGTTGAAGTTTATAATCTGTAGCACCAAAATCATCAAATATAAAATATATTACCTGCTCCGAATATAGCACCAGATAAATAATGCATGGTAAGTGCATTACCAAGCCTATAAGGAGTAGTCAAAATATTCTTCTTCTCAAATGTACCAAAATACAGAGGAGAATGGTCTAAAGCTACGTATAAACGAACAGACGTGTGGACGCTCAATAAGATGGATACAGGTTCAATCTTTAAATTTTGCAGTTTTAATGGAGTACTCAATATTTTTGCATCGACCATTATATAGTCAGGAATGTACACTCCAATAGTTGACACTAACGTCCTTGTCTTTTTTATATCATCTGATACTAGAAATCGTGGTGGTACCATTGAAGTTGCATAATTTAACAACTGAGTTATGTATGTATCTTCAATATAAGCACTAATTGGTGCAATTTTTATGAAAAGATCTTTGGACACTAAAAGTAAGATTAAAAGGATATTAGTATTAATGGAAAACAAGAACTTCACTCAGAATGTGAACATATTGTTAAATACCTCTTAACTGTCCCTGATTTTCTAAAATATAATCAATCGCGATTAGTGAGTTTTCCCTGATTTGTTCAACTTTATTCATCAGACACGTGCTTGTATAAAATCTCGTTTCTCTTACTACAAGCGGACTTTGACTAATTAGTACTACCGGAAAATCAAATCCTCCTTGATCAAACAGTTGATTATCCAATTGCAGATCACCAATGAAAGCACGTAAATTTATAATTCTAGATTTTGCAGCAACAATGACTACGACATCGGTCATTGACAAGCTGGCTACTTCGATTCTTTGAGCATTTTCATTCATGTCGTGCATGATAACAATAGTAACACCACGAAGACAAATAGAGGCAGAGCCTTCGTTGGAATTACTCTCTTCAATGGTTTTTGCATCATCGTTTTCGTTACCCTTCACATTTTCTACATTTTTCATCAGACGTGAATTTATTTGCAAAGTTTTCATTTCCGGGGCTAAAGTATCATCTTGAGCCGAAAAGAAAGTTGTAACAGAGGTTGAACTACCGGAGCTCTGTACATTTATCGTTTTGTCGTCTTCTTGTTCAGACGAAAATGAGCTATGTAACGTTTCAACTTCTTTCGTATCGTTCTCTTTACGTAAAAGTCGACTTCTAATATCTCGTGCAGATACCTCCACTTGAGATATAGGAAGAATATTAATGAACGTAGTGTAACAATGATTTTGCATGATCAACTTTACATCTCCATACGATGGAAGTCGCACATATTGATCCATTGGTACACTTGATATTGCGGACAAATTTATACCTCTTGACCATCGTAATTCTTTGCTCTTATTTACTTGCTCGTTATAGCCGCTCGTTACAGCAGAAAATAATAATACATTTGACGTGTTGGCAACAGGTGCATCAGGTAGTCTATTGCTAACAGATGGAATGGTATAATGACAGGATGCGTTACTTTCAATCTCACAGATCCAAGCAAAATGAGAAGTGTCTGGTATTATTCCTCCTGCTGTTTCATTAGCTTGAGCCAGTAAAATTTTGAAAGCGCACGTGTTTTCAATTAGTAACTGAGGATGGTGATCCACGTATATCATTATGTAAGTTGTACCTTTATCCTCTTGTATAGTGATAACTACTGGCATAGTAGTAGAGCCATTTGGAACAGCAATGCACTTGCGACTCATACCTTGATCTACTCGAACTGGACATGACCATTTGTGTCCTAAACTTAGAGATATATAAAGTGCGAGAGGTTCTATGATCTCCTCCATGTATAATGTGTACCACTGTGTGATCGGAATGCCTTGTTTCTGATCTTCACTTGGTGAAATGTTAAAGCTGAAAGGGGTAAGATCGTTTGGCAATTCAAGTGCAGTTGCATCATCGTAAACCGCTAATGTGGCGACGCATAATTCTTGAGGCGTTAAGTTGTTAATAACATGACTACTTGTTACGCGTACCAGACGCATGTCTTCGTACATGCTGGAATTGATGCTCATAATAGAGACACTTGAACCACAATCGACGCATGTTTTAACATTTCCATCGACAGGTATGAGTCCCCCTATTCTTGGCATGTAAAAGCTTTGACTCCAATCGGGTCGAGCCAATTGTAGAGCCTGGGATGTATAAAAAGTATCACCAATGCCAACGCATAAATGAAATGTGCCTTCTAATTTCGGTGGTGTTATGATACCGTAATGAGGAATCTGACAGAGTTCGATATCTTCGGATACGAGAGAGAGATAACATCCCATTGAATTTAATATGAAACACCATGGTTGCAGTTCTAGTAGCAATGTACTGGAGACCAAACCAGCATCCTGGTATTTCACTTGCACATGCGTTTGCGGTTGTTCAGCAGATATCCATTCCTCCATCTCGTCTTCCTGGAAAGGCCATTCTGTTTCGTCCGTTTGATTTTCAAGATTCTTTAGAATTTCATCGATGTCCTCGGTTTCAGGCCTTCTGAAAAACTTTCTTTGATCAACAGAACTGTACGACAATGGCACGTATGGATTAGAAGTTGAAACTCCAGATTCCAATTGAAATGTTAACTGATGGAAATGTTCAAATGTTCCAGGACAGTACAATTGTTGTCGTTCACCTCGACCATTTACCATCGTGCTTAAAGATGTCTTTAACGAAGGTGTATCCATCTGTACTCTAACTGGTACCGGTAGATGCGATCGGATCATGTAAAGTGGACTAAGCACAGCTAGTACTTTTGTTCTCTCCTGAATTGTTTGCGTCACTATCCGTACCCAAATGCTCAAAAATTGTCCACGTTCTTGCAAAGGAACTTTAACAAGCCACGGTTGTCCCCATTTAACGTTAGGTTGTAGAGGAATGTCCCCTGTCCATGATAGATTCGGTGCGTTTGTAAACCGCAAACGTATTGCCATTTTCTTATTGCCATCAAGTATAACCGAGGGTGGTCGACTTTTACCAGAGATAGGATACACATCTTTCAACACGGTTACTTTTGACCCAATGTCAGCTTCGTACCTGACTAATTTCATTTCAAAATTGTCAATCAACTGGTTGGAAATTACGAGCTGTCCACAGAATGTGACAAGTTTCTGCATGGCAGAAATCGATGCAACGCTTACAAATACTGCCGTTTTCATCGTGGAATTGCTAAATTCTATTGCTTGAATCCCATCAGTTCCCACAGAAAATGGTTTGCTCCATAACCAACTGTTTTCTTTTATCGCTATCCGCAACATTTTATTGCTGATATGTCGCCACGAATAGAAATTACATTGTCTACTTTCCAATAATATATTTTCTCCTGTACCACTCTGACCAAAGAGGATAGGCACATTGCTATTATTAGCTATTACGTAACGTGTGAATAAAATCATATTTTTGTTTTCTTCTTCCAGAGATGCAAACCATAAATGGGTTGAAACTGCAAGTGTATGAGCTACAGTTGGGCTTAGTTTTAAGGAAAAAGGGCTGCACGTTAAAGATATATCAGTTTTATCTGATAGCGAAAGTTGTAATCTTGCTTCCAAAGGATCTAGTATTTCTTGCATAGTTAAGTAACTATAATCCAGTATGTGTATCCCAAATGTACCACCTATATCGATCAACGTAGAACCGTCTATCCATCGGTTAAGTACAAGGATAGCCCCTTTATGCTCCAGGGTCATGAAACATTGAGTTTCAGGTATTGTACCTTTCAACGTGTAATTATTTAAAGGTGGTTGTAGCTCGCTCATAGTAGTGCTAATGTGATTGTACATGCATACATGAATAGCACCGATATTAAGCGCAGCTTGTATGTTAGGTATAATTGAAGAATTAAAATACGAATCAATACGTAGACATGCTGCAAGAACACGAGCTGAAATTATTGCTTTTGGTCGATTACTGTTTGAAAGCAGAACCACGCGCCATATGCAAGCCACTGCTCGTGCTGGAGCTTTTTCAGGAAGTTCTAGACGGTAAGAATCTGTTTCTGATAAATAGAAGTCAGCGTAACGTTGATAAGACATATGGCAATCGCTCCAGTATTCAAGGGTACAAAGCACTTTCTCCACATTAAAAGTATCTGAATCCAATGTCTAAGAAAGTAAATTGTGTTGAATATAAAATATCGTTTATGTATAGAATGTGTAAATAAAAAAGTTTGCTTACTTCAAACGGAACTGGTGACACGTGTATCCTTGTTAATGTCCTCGGTTGTGGATATCTCCAGGCCATTGATTGTTGAGGATAAGTAAAAAATATGACCTAAGTTATAAAACAGTATATTGAAAGATTAATCTTCCTTCATTAAAGAAGCAAATATTGGTAAACTTACTTGATAAGGAAAAGGAAGTTCGTCTGCATTACCATTAACAAATTGAAATGCGCCGGCTTTAAGATCGTCCTGATAATGTTGCTCAGTTGAAAGTACAATTTGTTTTTCATTATCTTTGCATTTCGATGAAGACGTTGTTAACTCGCTTAATAATAATTGACAGTCTTCCATAACATTTTTTATAATTTTTATTTGTTCTGGACCAAAATCTAGATAAAGACTATCGCTATCTGCTTGTATCTGTACTTGAGGAATAGAATCGATATTTTGCCAAGTCTCCCAAAGCAAACAAATGGTAATATTGCAGCACCATGGATTTAAAAGAACTTTTATATTTTCATTAAGAATTACTGATATGATGAAAGAATCTACAGATGTGTTAGAATATATTCTATCAGGCCTAAGAAGAGATGAAATATTGCCAGACAACGAAGATAAACTAGTTATTATTTCAGCACCAGAATCAGTCTTCAGAGAAAGCACAAGTTGCTTTGTAGATATATTTAAATCAGGCCAGTACAATTTTTTCGATTTCGTTACTGAATGTACCTTCGTATCATCAAGTTGTTCAACAGACGTTGAATCATGTTGATCCACGAAGCATGTTAATATCTGGTAATTAATAAATATATATTTAAGCACGAATAGAAGAATCTATAGCTCTTCAATTGAAGAATCTTTTTAAGACATCTTATATAGTATTACCTTATTTTTAATAATATACATCTGACTTAGTCTTGATAAAGAGAAATGAATTTTCGTAGGTCTACCCATGTCTACAGAGAATTGCGGATTTTTTCCTAATGTTTTTTCATATTTTACTGTTATAAATGATGGAGGGATGCCTGTGTCTGGATGCAAATCACCGTTTTTCGTTTCGATCATGAAGACTTTGAAATCTTTTTCTGTTGGTATTGAAATTAATTCTCTGCGTTCCTTTTCTCCAAGTGCGACGGTTATATCAAAACACGATACCTAATATCACATAAATTCTCATACTAAATACCCCTAAGAAACATCTTATTTTTATTCGTAAATTAACATACTTGTATCTTTTGTAATGGGTGGTGTTGAGAGAAGTAAATATTTGGTTGATTAACCATTACATACAGTAGTGGTTGCTTCTGAGTCTCACCCTCCTCTTCTTCAACTTCATTTATATCCTATATAAATTTCTTATAAATTTAATGTTACTATATTTATATTTAATTGTTAAAAGTTACTTACGACTTGATATTCTGTGACTGTTTCTTGAATATCATAAAGTATGAATGTTATTTTTCCACAGTTTACTAAAAACTCAAATGGTAAAAGAACTGAAGTATCTGAAGATGATGGTTTACCCTAGGAGAATGAAATTATTTAAATAGAATAAATGATCTTTCAGGTCTTTCAAAAATTCAAACCCATATGTGAAAACTTACAACAATAGTTGAATTCACACTAGACGTTTCGAAATCTATACCACTGTCTTTAGTAAAATCAACGTCTGTATCGTTAGAACTTTGTTTCGTCCAAGTTATTTGTTTTATACCCCCCATACTCGCAAACAGTTTCTGAGATGTATTACCACACGTAGCTACATTCTCATTTTGTTCAAAACGTCCCAGTAATACATTTTTCAATTCATTATTTAGAACAGTTATTAAGTGAATTTGGTCTAAATTTAATGTCACCTCTATATCCGTAATACAATTTACTTCAATGGCACTTCCGCATACTGTTATGTCCGGTTTGAACAGTACAGGCGGGGCAATGATCAAGCACAAATCAAACCTGCAGTATAGATTTACGTTAATAATATTGTTAATAATCAATTCTTATTATTCAATAATTGCATACTTTGATAATAGTGGAAGCGTGGAAAATTGTCGTTCTAAACTACTACCATGTCCGAGTTTATTCCATTCTAATGCAGGATTTTCATTCATGGTATAAAGATATGACTGAGATATTTTCTGTGGATAAACATTTCAATGCAATATATTCCTAACAAATTCATAATTTTAATGTATTTTTTTTAACAAACCTTATTTATACTCATTTGATAATTTTTCCAAGTAGTTGTATGAGCACATATTCCTTTTATATTTATTTGATATTGTCGATCTTCTACAGCAGAACCGGGTATGCTCAAGATATTTGCTTGAGCTGCAAGTTGATATATGTCTAATCTTAAAGGTGTTCTACAAATCGGATTTTCAGCATGCGGAGTAATGCGAACTGCATCTAGCTACAAAATGAATAAGATTGTTAACATATAATTTGCAACTTGTAAAAGAAATTCTCTTTAATTAAAATTATATAAAAGGACATGTTACTACCTGAAACATTAATAAATCGTGTTGGGGTTTAAACTTCACTGTGTTTGATACTGGTAACATTAATCTAAGTCCTTTGAAATCCAGGTATATTAGTGGTAATGTTTCAATATCAAGATTGGTAATACTAGTCAAATGTGGTGCTACATTTTGTTCAGAATTTTCAATTGTACCTTTCTCAGCGGATTGATAGAAACACGTGAAAGGTTTTATTAATTGCATATATTTGCTAACTATCGTGAGCGGTAAAATTAGATCCATCATTTGTACTTTTATAACCACTTCAGAAATATAACTATTAGTAGATAAGACACTTTCAGTCATTACATCTTTCTAAAAATTAAAGGGTGAAAAGGTAAAATAATACAAGAATGTTATTTATTTTACTTCTAACATCAAATACCTTTTGAGTTTTGTGTTTTTTATAAGTACCCCATCGTGTATGAACGTTTCCTGATTTTGCTCTAGTCAAGGTAAAACTTATAAATCCGGAATCATCACCTTTTTCTAAACTATCTTCTCTTCCACAAAGCACTGCACCAACGTATTCCCCGATATCCCAAGTCACAGAATTTGGTGCTCTATAAAAGAATATTCTCCAATACTTATCGCTTTAAAGTTAAAAAATGATAAATTATAATTACTCACCTTGTATAATGAAATATAGTGACTGTCGTAATTTTGCTTTTTAATTTAAAATATACAGGCTGTAAGTCTAAAGAAGTAATAATATCTTCCAATTCAAGTACTAATTTTAATGAAGATAAACTTTCTTTTTCCGTAACATATAATTTTATGGCGATTTTTGTTATAGTCCATTGAATCCATGCTGTCAAAACTAATTCATCCGTATCTAAAAGTATAATAATGTACATGTGTCCAGAAGTGTACATTTTTTAGTAATGTACCTTGTGTAGTATCATCTTTTGAAGTTGAAACAGTTGAGTTTGTAGTTGTATCTTCTGGATACAGTAACTGTGTTGGTGTAGATGGAGTTTGTGGTATGATTGGAAGAACAACTTGTGCTTCAGTATTCATTTGAGTACTAGTTATCACACTTTTATTTGCGCTGGTTGTAACTCGTACTATGCTTGCAATACTTGAGATTATTTTATTCACGAAAACTACCTGAAATAAAAATATATGTTACACGTTCATACCCTATGTATTAGATGTGTTGCAATACCTGTTCCTCAGAAATTGAAACGATAATAGGAGAATTATCGATGTGAACGCAAACACCTAAAGCGGACAATGTACTTTCTGATTTAAAGGTTGTGACTTTAGTTGTAAGAGCAACTGTAGCATTTAATGACATTTTTTTAATAAAATTTTTTTGTGTATGCTCTTGTAACATGTAGCAATGGAAATCGACAAGGCTCAACGTCCATGGAAAACTTTGCGACTCTGAAACAAATTACATTGAGAATAATGTACCATAATAAACTTTTTGTTACTTACTATTTGTCCACATTGATTTTGGTAGTACAACTGGTAATTCTTGAAGATAAGGTGTCAGCAATTCGAAATTTACATTAGATGAATGAATAACTAAGGCGGGTAATTTTATTATTAGTATTTGTAAATTTTTATTGTTTTTCAGAGCTCCATCTTTGGCTTCTTCTATACCTACATATTTTAATTTAACATAATTTTAATAATGATGAATTAAACACGTAATTTTAAGTAATACATTTACATACCATATGCCCCTATACCACTCATTGTCATTGATGGTATGTAAATAACAATATGTCCAACACATCCACTTAACACAAGTCCACCCCACCATGGATACCATTCTGACAATCTGGCCAATATTCCCAAATTCTGTAAGTTCTAACATAGATTACATCTTCATAATTAATAATTAAGATGTACAAAAATTACTATCAAGAAAAATATTCAACATCTTTAACAATAACTTGAAATTTTATACCATACATAATTAAATGGTCATAAAATACCTGTCTTTCACCTGTGGTTTTAGAATCATATTTCTTTTGAGTTTCATCGTTTTGCACAGTTTTTGACTTTTCTGTTGTTATAATTGATTTTCGTTTTTCTTTATCTGAAGAACTATGTACGCTTTCATGTAAACTAGGAAATGTCTTCTTCTTGGTACCAGTATCGGAAGATGCACCTTCGAGATGTTGCTGCATTTCAGGTCGCATCGTACATAAGGTACCTACATTATAATAAGTAACACGATATTCCAACCACTTAAAAAGTAGCGGATCGAGTGAAGCTCTGATATCTGCCATTTGAAGCGAAATCAGAGGTGGATGCGTTTGTTTTTCAATATCTTTTGGGAACTGTATTACGGCTGTTAGGAGGGATTTATTTTCTACATCTCTGAAACCAACAAGTTATTATTAACATAACTTCTACTTAATATATAATTATTAATGTACTAACCCATCAATGTTACTTTCTGGGCCTGAAAATACAAAGGCCTGTTGTGACTCATTAAGAGCAAACATTTTCACTGAACTCATACTTATTTCATATGAAACTGTAACTAAAGATGACAACTTTTTACAGTTCACATTTTCAAATAATAATTCCAGGTATACAGGATCTGAAATATATATTACCCACATATTACAGTTAAGTGTTCAGTAACAATTTCAGTAACATAATACATACCCGTTTCTTGACAAGCATCGCTAAATAAAGAAGAACACACTAAAGGATTTGTTGTATCATTGGGATCGAAAATTGAAGTCAATATAGATACAGCAATCATTAATTTTGCTTTTGTCCCGGTAATCGTAATACTGTCCATATGTACTGTGTATGTTTCATGTATTAAATCAATATCCCTCCAATATTGTGGATACAATAATTTCTTTATTTTGCATTCAACTGAATAAGGCATTACTATAGATGTATGGCAACTTTTTGTTAAGTAAAGTTGACTCTTTGCTCCGTTCACCTAATGAAATATAAAGTCATTGCAAACACACTTAGATGTACAACAAATACATATGTTATACTACCTGCACTGAAACAATCTTATGGCACTGACTAAACATTTCTGTTGAAAGTTCAGTTTGTTTCGATGCACAAGCTGCAAGTCGAAACGGATATAAAGGTTGAAGTACTGATATAATTGCTTCATCACATTCAATACTTAGAAAAGGATCGTCTGTAAGAGCAGGTGTTAGAGGTGCCGTCTAGCAAAAAATAATATGAACGAAGTAAATAATAATAGTAATAATAGCGTTAATAAGCAATTAACATAAGTGTAACTGTATACATATATGACAGTACATATATTACATACTCTACTTTCAACGATCTTTCGGTGGCGTGGTAATCCAGTAACAGAATGATCGGCTAATTGCAATTGAAGAGATGCTTTTATTACTATTAATTTTGTCTCGGCCATAGACACATTTTCTCGTAATGCTTCATATTCTTCCAATGTAACAGGAGGAAGTTCATCCGCAAGCGGATCTGATAATAATTTATACATAATAATTTTTAACACTTTACGTTTATATAAGTTAATTACAATTATACCTGGTTTTGTAACGATATATGGATTGTAATCGTAGTTCGCGGCAGCTTGCTTTATCGTTTCAATACGATGAAAAATACCTGAACACAGCCTAACAGTTAAATCGCCTATGATGTACCTCATTACTCTGCGTTCGTGAAAATTGCTGAAAGTTAGCGAAACTTTAGATTTGTCTATATTGCTAGAATTTTACGGACACCTTGATTTAGTTCACTCACCTATATTCAAAATTAGACCCGAATTCTGCCAATTTCTCAGGTGTGATATCATCTGGTAATTCCAGACAATGAACATAATCCATAGCAAATGCAGGGCATCGTTCTATTAATCGCTCTTCTGAAAATGTTCCATGTATTTTTTTTTTTTTTTATAAATTTCAGCTATTAAAAAATAAAATCAAAGTTCTACTACCTGAAACTGCACATAAATAGTAATATATTCCTTGTTTGTATTCTCTCTTTTTTCCTTTGTTCTCCACTGAATCATTGTCAAATAAAGAATCTTTCAAATAATCAGTATTTAACTTGCCAGCTATGAAATATAAGGGTGGCTAGACAAAGTTATTCATTAGTTTTGATAACTGAAGAAAATATTAATAAAAATACAGTATAGATCATTACCTGAGCCCCATCTACTACTTCAAGATGTCCGCAGCTACAAGTTCCTCTCGGATATATACGTATACATCCCATTCCAACTTGGAAACTAGTCATTGCAATACCCTGGAGTAAAGTATCTACCACTACTCCATTCAATCGCAATGTTAAAAATGATTTGTATCGAAGTTTACGAGATTTATAAAATAATTGCTCCTTAACATTTTCAACTGTCTGTATAAAAAAAAATGTTTTTAATATGTCTTCAATTCTTCATCTGACTTTTAAACACATACCTTAAAAGTTAAAGTGGTATCTTGCACATAGATGCCTAAATGAATAGTATGACCTGAATAAGCCATTTGCTGTTCTGTAGACCAATCATTATCCCAATCAATAGGTAATAAAGATGATACCACGTTCCAAGCCCATCCACCCCAGCCTGAGGTTTCTGTAGCAACTCCGCTTACGTGATCTATATCGTCTATAGAATTATTAGATACAAATATGTTTATAACATAAAAGAATTATATTCATAAATTTTATAAAAAATATGGTAGAACCTTGTGTGCTATCCTCCCTTTCCTCCATAGAAATTAAAGATTTTTCTTTATTAGATGGAAATTGTTTTGTCTGCAAGGCCATTATCAATGCAGCTAATCTAAGCAACATTGGTACTTGTTGTTCTGTTATACTAAATTCCATCTTTTGACAATGCAGGTCTAAACGCGTAATAGAAGCTTTTTTTGCAGTATTACTGTGATAATTTACAATCAAGCGTATTACGACGGAACATCGATACAGAACAGGATCCTAAATTATGAAATAACAAATGTATATATCTTGTTACATCAAATATAAAAGAAAAACAATACCTGATATATTTCTATTTTTCCAGAAGCATCCATTTTATCTAAACATAATGTTAGGTCTTGAATAGTAACAACTTTCCTAAGCATAACTTCATATCCATTGACATCTACAAATATACATTGTTTAGAATTTATCAATGATTACTTTCAAATAGTATAAAATACATACCAGTAAATGTTGGTTCCCATTTATTATTAACAGTTTGCATACTTAAAAATCTGACATTGACACTAAGAACAATATCTTCTTCCACATATTTTAGAATTAAATTATTACAATTGATTGTTATGTTATTTACAACCTTTGTTACTATACTTTTTATATACCCAGGTGGTGTTTCTTCCCTACAAATTAAATAATAGTGCATCAGAATATCTGTATGGTATTATAATACAATGCATAATAATAAAAAACATTTACTAACTGTGGTAATTCCGGTCTTTTCTGCATTGCAGAAGGATTAGTTTCCACTTTAGTATCATCTTTTAATTTTAAAATGCATTCTGAAAATGAAAATAAATGTGTATATGTATATAGTCAATGTTATCATATACATCATATATTCTATAGTATTTACCTATTGTGTTAATTGTAATGACAATTGGTTCTGAAGTAATTTTTACCCAAGGAACATGAATAAGTAGTTCATGTATGTGACCACTCACAAAAACAAAAGGAAGATTAAGTTGTTCTTCCAAAACTTCTAGCCGCAAATCAAGATTTTGAAATGATGCATCACCACCCCATAAAGAAACCTTAAATACAGAATAAAATTATGTACTTTTAAAACAATGATAAATTAATACCATATATTTTTGACCAAAAATTACCTGAGATTGTTCTGGTTTAAAATTCTTCACATATTTTTCAACATAACTAAGAATCACTGGTGTTATATATGATTCCAGTTTGAACATTGTGATTGATAATTCAATGCATTCCACATACTCTTATGTGTTTAATAAATTTATGTTAGCAAAAAAAGTTTTGTTCAATAAGTACTCTATATAGGTACTAGTTACAAGAATGATAAATGTACTAATAAAAATAGATGGAATCAGACTATGTAGTACTTAAAAAAGTATAAGATTATCTGAAAATGATAGAGTTATTAAAACATTTATCAGAAAGTTTTAACATATTATGAAATTCAGTATATAAAAATTTGTTTTTAATATATTTTAAAAGGAACATGAAATAGGGTAAACAAAATCAATAGGTACTTTAATAAATATATTTTATTTTTCTTTCATTTTGGCATAGAACCAATATAAATTGTAATATGCTATCATTTAACATACTGATACAGTTAGCTATGTATGCAATATTTATAAAACAGATATTAACCTTAAGCTGGCAGTGGATCATGCATCAAATTCAAATACAAAAATATGTTTCAAAAATACATATCTCCCTTTTTTGTACTGAAACATTGAACCAAAAGAGAAAAGATTAATACCACTTTTAATGGTTTATAATTGAAAGTACTCAGTTATGATTTTATGTTGCATAGATATAATATTTGCTTTATTTATGCTGTCAGTCTTAACCTTTAAAATTTGACATGCACTGCAACTGCATGACTGCATGTGCATTGTAGCTGTAATACGCATGCGTTTCATTGTGAGATATCTCAATGAAATTTGAAACTTCTTTATAAACTTTTTATTTTTATGTTTATACATGATGATGAGAAATTTGTATGACTTGTATATTAACAAATAATAAAACTATGTTGAAATGAACCCTTTAGTATGCTATTTTTTTATATTTGATTACTCTTTAAATTTTTAATATTATTTATTTTCTTCTTTATGAAGAACAATTTTTAGCACACCCTATAAAAGATAGTGGTATTCTCCCCAATTTTTTGTATATTATTTCGATGTTCACTTTATAATGAATGCAATGTGACTTTTTGACATTTATGCATTAATTATAATTTAGAATAATGGCACATGTAACTACATATTTTGCATCCCGAGATTATACAAAACCTGCGATTGATCGTCGCATTGCTGAATTATTGAAAAGAAGAATTGGTTTAGAAAGTTTACCCACAGAAACATTAAAAGAACGTCTTGTAAGTTAAATATATAAATCTTTTATATGTTATTTACATTAATAATTGAAGCATTTTACATATCTTCCTGTATATTTAGGAAAAATTTAAAGAGAACCGAAGTGTAAGGCAAGGGTTGTTGAAAGTAACACATAGGCAGGTCCTGGAAGTTGTAGCTTACATTTTAAATATAGATGCTGATCTCCTGGAAGAAGGAGTTATTGATAAAGATGAATACATTAATGTTTTTGATAGTTTCTTTGCTAAAGATGGAAAGCGTGCAATTCTTATTCATTTTCAACCTATGGGACCTCCACCATTTGGTAATATGCTTTATTTAGATATGTATTTTCTTCATCTCAGATATAATTAATATAAAAAATATATATTCCAATAGAATCTGGACGATGGAATCCACAATTTGAGCATGAAAATCAGATGATACGTTGCTGTGTTACTGATGGTTCCACTGAAAAATTTTCTGGCAGATGTGTTATAGTTTACAGAATAAAATCAGACATTGATTTTGAATCTAAACACCTTCTTGAAGTATGTTCTTATATGTATAAAATACATGTATTTATAATTCTTCTTTACTTAAACTGTTAATATTTCTTCTTAACTTAAACATAATAGGAAACATATTATGCATATGCAGAAGCTGACCCTGTATCTCAGAGTGCACTTGCAGCTATGTCAGAGTTAATTTTAAGATTCAATTTACCTGCAATAACAGTTAATACAATGTGGGGTGAATTATCAAAAGCTGAAGCAGGAGAAAAAGTTATAAATAATTTCGTTTGCGATTTTAGAGATTTTTGTGAATTTTTAAGCAGTAAGACATTGAAATTCACCTCTGTATGAAATAAACTATAATTCTAAATAGTATAATTATCATTAATATGTTTCTTTTAGTGACTAAACTAGATCTAGAGAATACAATAAATTTTTATACTGACTGGGAGCTATATAATAAGTACTTAGCAATACCAGAAAATACACAGAATATTAATGATCCAGAAGTTATTCATGCTATAGAAGATAATGTCAGATTATGGATGAAAAGTATGGAACGGGTAAAGTAGTAATTTTTATTTTGAATGCGTGGAAGAAACAATAATGCTTATTTTGAACATAGGCTATTGTTGAGAGTCAACAATTACGCCGAGAATCTGAACTTATGGGACCAAATGAAGAACTTAGTTATTGGAGAAGATTACTTGCTCGTTTTTCATCAATTATTGAACATATAAAATCTCCTTCTACTCAAAGATATATAGACTTCTTAATTAGGGTGAACTCAAAACATATGAAGGTACATTTATCTATAAACTTCTTTCTGCTGAATTAATAAGTACCTTACATATCATATCTAGAAATGGAAAATGTTGGAAAATCATGTCAAAACGATACAAATTCTTGCACAAGATAATGTGAAGTATTTATATGCATTGGAAAAATTTACTCAGCCATTATATAGACTTGATCCTACACAAATGGGAAAATATTTACCTCCTCTTATGTATGCTATACGAATGATCTATGCTACTTCACGATTTTTTAATACAAGGAGAATGGTTACAGCAGTTTTTGTAAAGGTATTACAATAAATATAGTGAATATTTTATTGACTACAACATTTAATTTACATTATTATTAATTTCAGATGACAAATCAAATGATTTTAGCATGTAAAGCTTATCTAACTGACAATGGCAAAATAAATATTTGGAATGAATCCAAATCTGTTATGATATCCAAAATAAAGGCATATATTTGTATATTTAAGATGAATTTTAAGTAATTATAGCGAGAAAATGTTTATTATTATATTTCTCTTACAGGATTGTACAAAATTATGCGATCAGTATTATGAATATTATAATGACATGTGCAAACAAGTTAAAGAATCTGCTGATGAAAAACCTTTTGAAGTATCAGAAATGTATGTTTTCGGAAAATTTAATACATTTAAATCACGAATAATAAAAGTTAGTAACATTTTACTATGATAGTAATATTGTTATTTACTATAATTACGAATAAATTAATTATATTTCAGATTATGGATGTTTTTCAAACAGCATTAACATATCTAATTCTTTATAGTTCTGCAATACAGGGAATAGATACGTTTGCAAACAAATTCTTCAGTTTTTTTCAGCATATTTCATCGCAAAATTATGATCCATTAAATCACAGGAAACCGTACTTTGACGCTGACTATGATAAATTTAAGAAAGATGTAGAAGAAACAGAAATTGAATTAAGAAATTTCTTTTATAAATGCGTATCAGAAACTCCTAACATAACAGAAGCATTAAGAGTAGTAGCAAGGTAATTGTTATATATAATATTTATTATTGATAATAGCGCATTTATATTATACAATTGATATAGATTTGAAAAGCTGAAGTTTAAACATTTGAGAATTGATAGAAAGTACTTGGAACTTATTGTATTGTTTCAAAAAGAAATCGAAGATGTACGAGATAGATACAACGAGGACAGATCAGATCCACCGCTACCACGAAATATTCCACCTATTGCTGGTCGAATTTTATGGATTCGACAGCTTTACCGGCGTGTCGAAGAACCGATGGAAATATATAAAAAATGTATAAGAGTACTTAGCCATGATCGTATGCAGAAATGTATTAAGATTTACAATGCTTTAATCAATGTCTTTATACATTATGAATTAATATACCATAAAGCATGGTATGATTCATCCGAAATTGTAGGTATAATTATCGCTATATAAATAGTAAACTAATGATCATTTGAATCATCGCTTATTGCAATTTAAAGGTTCGATTAGCATTAGCTTCACCTCTACTTATACGGCATCCAGATACAAATAAATATCACTTAAATTTTGATTCTTATATTATTGAAGTGATACGTGAGTCAGAACACATGGCTAGATTTAACTTAGAAATACCGGACTTTATACAGATCATAACATTCTGTAAAGATAAAATTTTTTCATCCTATGAAACTGTGAAACAATTAGTCGAAGAAAATAATGCATTGAGGTAAAAGTCTGACATGGTTTCTTCTCAGGAACGAAAAGAATTAATCTTTGTCCTGAATTTCAGGCGAAAAATTCCAACATTGTTTCTAAATTTGATAAAAAGTGTTCTTGTTAATCTTGAGATTGCTTTTCAACCCTGTCTATCAGTGGTAACATGGACAAGTTTGAATATCTCTGAATCATGTGAAGAAATAAAAAAAGCTATTCGATCTATGCAAGTCTTTGTAAAAGAGATAACAGACATGAAGGAGGCAAGAGTTGATGAAATCTTTGAGTCTATTGCAGATGCTATATTAGTGAAACTTAATGGTCAACCAAAACCTCCAACACAGTTATTGGATGATAATATTGCTTTTGGAAGTACAGTTGCTTCTGACATCGAAATAAAATCGTCAGCAGCAGAAAAAGCTGTCATAACAATTATTAATAAATTTATGGACTACATAATTGATGAGTCCGTTCAAAATGTAAAGTATAATTGGATGGATCCAGAGAAAGTGTATAAATATGCCTCAGAGACTAAATTAACAAAAGGGAAATATGAACCAGGTATATACATTTTATTATCAGTTTCAAATATTTTTAATGACAAACGAATAATGTTCTATAGCTGTTATAAATAATTGTAGGTTTTGCTCCCATTGAAAGAACACACAAAGTTCAAATAAATAAAGTTCATAATGATTGCATGGAATTATTTGCATATTTTCACGGTAAACTTATAGAAGCTTTAGTAAAATGCACTAGGAATTCCTTTGAATTGTTAAAGAAAAAGGTCATAGTTTTAAGGTTCGTGCAACTGCGGTTGAAATTTTTGAATTTCCCGTTTATGTTCTTTTTACATTAATAATTGCAGTTCTTCGGCGAATGGTGACAACGATACAAGAGAAGAATCTCCAATTCTGTTAACTACATTTGTTCTGCAAATACCAAATATTGTAATAGTACCTCCGATAGAAGAACTACAACATTACTTTGGGAAATTAGTGATTACCGTTTTAGAGAACCATACAAAAATTATTACTTGGGGACAGCGTTATTCAACTACAGACAAAACAAACTCTGGTATTTAAAATTAATCATTCCTAGCAGTAATGTTGATAGCAAATTGTTTATATAAAATTTATTTTATATCCTTTCATTTAGTAGATAATAGAACACTTAAGAACTACTACGATACGATTTCTGATCATAAAGAAATAGTTCGCGCTGTAATGAGTTTACAAGGCGCAATTTTAGCAGTAAAGGATGATGTAGCGCAAATCGGCAATGTATACACGTTTCTTGTTCTTCTTATTTTATAATAGATAGATGCAATATTTGACTTTTACTTTATAAATTAATTTTATAATAGATGTATTTACGATTCTCATTCATATGGTCTGAAGATAGAAGTAAAATCATCCAGAGTTTTGTTAATTCTGAACCAATTTCTCAAGAGATTAAAGAAAAATTTATAGAATACAATGACTTAATTTCCGAAATTGAAAAATTGCCGAACAAGCACATAGTCGGTCCTATAGAAATTAACATGGGTAACTAATTGGCGTGTCATGATTGCCATGTCGATGATCAAACTTTCTAATTAACTTAATATGTTTCAGAAAAATTAAAATTTGCACTTTTAGTTGAAGCACGTACATGGAAAACATTATTAGGTCAAGTGTTGTCTGGTACATATAAAGCAAAATTAAAAAGGATTACTGATTACATCAACGAGAAGAATAAGGTTCTAGCGAGAGAAATAAAGGACTTAGAAGATGTAAGGGTCGCCATGAAATGTTTAGCCGAAATAAGAGACGATTTTATATCATTGGACATGGAATTAATATTGATAGACGAAACGTACAATTTAATGGCAAAATTTAACATCCCTATATCAAAAGAAGAACAAGATATCGTGGACAGTCTACGATACAATTTTACAAATATGTTGAACACGGTATTGACCATAAAGATCAGCATCGTTATTTATTTTATACCATATTATATTTAATAAAATGTTATATATCATAAGGCTAAACAAGTACAAGCAAAAATATGCGAAATGCAAGAGCCACTGAAGAAAGAATTAACAGACGGTGTAGCAATTCTGAAACAGGATGTGATTAATTTTGATCTTGATTTTGAGCTTAATGGTCCGATGGTTGAGGGTATACCAGCTAAAGAAGCAAGTGATAGGTACGATTAATCAACTCTAGTGTTTATTTCAAATAATTTATTATTTTGTCCTTTTTAGACTTATTCTGTTTCAAGGCCGTCTGGAAGAATTGTGGGAAAGGTATGAGACTTACAGTAGCGGAGAAAGTTTATTCGGTATTGAAAGCACGGAATATCCTGCTCTTCATCAGAGAAAGAGAGAAATCAATTTATTACAGAAATTATATAGCTTATATTTGCAAGTGAATCGAACTATCGACAGTTACTTTGAGATACCTTGGTCTGAAATTGATATCGAATCCATAATAACCGAACTAGCTGATTTTCAGAATAGGTAAATTTAAATCGTTGTTACTTCTTCATACCCATTAGCAATAAACTAATTTTGTATTGTATTTCAGATGTCGACGACTACCAAGAGCCATGACAGACTGGCCAGCATATATCGACTTGAAAAAGAAGATCGATGACTTTAACGAGACTTGTCCGCTGCTGGAATTAATGGCAAATAAGGCAATGCAAGAAAGACACTGGGAAAGAATGTCAAAGCTGTGTAAATATAACTTCAACGTTGAATCAGAAAACTTTACATTGGCAAATGTGATGGAGGCACCTCTATTAAAATACAAAGACGATGTTGAGGTATTAATTATAGTCAAAATCAATGAATCCATTCAATTAAATATTATTGCTTTGTTAACTTCATTATGATTCTATCAGGATATATGTATCAGTGCAGTGAAAGAGCAAGATATAGAGAGCAAATTAAAACAAATTATCGCAGAATGGGCTGTTATAAATTTACAGTTTTCCCAGTTCAAGCAACGAGGAGAATTGCTCCTGAAAGGCGTAGAAACAAACGAGATAATATCTCATCTCGAGGATAGCTTGATGGTGATCAGTTCACTTTTAGCAAACCGGTATCAAATTCCATTTTGTCATACAATTGAAATATCGTTAATTCATAAAAGAAAAGTAAATAAATCTTGGATGCTTCCTTTAGATACAACGCGCCTTTTAAAAAAGATATTCAACTATGGCAAAGTAAACTAAGTAACACCTCTGAAATCTTAGCGAAATGGTTGACTGTGCAAAATTTATGGGCCTATTTGGAAGCAGTATTTATTGGTGGCGATATATCGAAGCAATTGCCAGCAGAAGCAAAACGTTTCAATGTAAAAAAGAAAATTTGATTTAAAATTCAGACTCGTATTTGATACGTGTAATTCAATATTTTAGAATATCGATAAAGCTTGGATAAAAATCATGTATCGAGCACGCGAAAAATTGAATGCGGTGGAAACATGTACAGGCGATGAAACAATGGGGCAATTTTTACCACATTTGTTGGAACAATTGGAATCCTGTCAGAAATCTCTTAGCGGGTATTTAAATATATTTGTGTACTTATGGCGAACCTTGATTTAAATTATTTCAATTTCTTCACAGGTATTTGGAAACAAAGAGAAGTGTATTCCCAAGGTTCTGTTTTATATCAGATCCTACATTGCTAGAAATACTCGGTCAAGCAGCCGATTGTCACACTATACAAAATTATCTCGATGGATTCTTTGACAACATAGCAAAGGTGATGAATCCGTGATATTATTCTCTTCTTCTTGGCCTCTTCAACAATTCCTCCACTTGCAGATGGACTTTTCTGAAAAAGAATACGAGAAGATTATAGCCATGTATTCGCGCGAAAAGGAAAAGGTGGTATTAGAAAAAGAGGTTGTATGTACAGGAGGTGTAGAAAACTGGCTGAATACTTTGTTAGTGGCACATCAATTTTCTGTGGGCTGTGTGATCTCGCAAGGGCTGCAAACACTCGATAACGATGACTTTGATATCATACACTTGATAGATAATTCAATTTTACAAGTACATAAGTAAGCTTCTTTTCTTTCTTGAACATTTTCTAAAAGTTAATTTCTCTTAGGTGGGTCTATTAGCTTTACAAGTCCTGTGGACTCGAGATGCTGAGGTAGCACTAAAGACAGCAAAACGGGACAGAGGAGTGATGAAAAGAACTAACGAATGGTTTCTTGACTTGTTAAATAGCCTTATTGAAGTCACTGTTAAAGATTTGACGAAATACGCTAGAGCAAAATATGAGGCTTTAATTACAATTCATGTACATCAAAGGTTGAATAACGATACAATAATCTTGGAAAGGTGGTGATGAAAATAACTTCACGAATTCGTGTAAATTTTATAGGGACATATTCGATGAGCTGTTTCACCATAGAGTCCGCAATATACTCGATTTCGAATGGTTAAAGCAGATCAGATTTTATTATAATCCTGATAACGAAGACATTCCTATTCAAATCACAGATATTGATTTCACTTATCAAAATGAGTTCTTAGGATGCACCGATAGACTGGCTATTACACCTCTTACAGATAGGTGTTACATAACGTTGGCCCAAGCCGTAGGTAAGGTCATTATAGGCTGCTGTATGTTCGCGTAATAATTTTTTTACCAAGATTGTATATTTTTTAAATTATACGTTTAGGTATGAATTTTGGGGGTGCACCCGCGGGTCCAGCAGGTACTGGAAAAACAGAAACCACGAAAGATATGGGGAAGGCTCTTGGAAAATACGTCGTCGTATTTAATTGCTCTGATCAAATGGATTTTCGCGGTCTAGGAAGAATATTTAAAGGATTAGCTATGGCTGGCATATGGGGTTGTTTCGACGAATTCAATCGAATAGATTTACCCGTTTTATCGGTGGCTGCTCAACAAATAGCAATTGTACTCACAGCAAGAAAGGAAAGAAAGACAAAGTTTCTCTTTAGCGACGGTGAAATCTATTATTTAAATTACGAGTTCGGAATCTTCATCACGATGAACCCTGGTTACGCTGGTCGCCAAGAATTGCCAGAAAATTTGAAGATACAATTTAGAAGCGTGGCTATGATGGTCCCTGATAGACAAGTCCGCTATTAATTATTAAAATTAGTAATCACATCTACAAATTCAAATTTGGATGTTAAATACAATTTTGTCACTGTTTCAATTGTTCATTTAGATAATTATGCGCGTAAAACTGGCAGCCTGCGGTTTCAAAGAAAACGTTTTATTGTCACGGAAATTTTATACATTGTACAAATTATGCGAAGAGCAACTCAGCAAACAAGTGCATTACGATTTTGGTTTGAGGAATATATTGTCCTGTTTACGAACTCTGGGTGCTCAGAAGCGAGCAAATCCTACTGATTCTGAAGAAACTACTCTGATGAGGGTTTTAAGGTGAAATATGACATCCGTTGAGTTACTTTCAGCAAAGGAAGACATACTAAATGATTAAAATAATATTTTAGAGACATGAATCTGTCGAAGTTAGTAGATGAAGATGAACCTCTGTTCATGTCTCTCATCGATGATATGTTCCCAGGAATTAAACTCAGAGTTCAAACGTACAAAGATTTACAAAAGGCGATTGCAAATGCAACTGTTGCACTTGGTATAACGAATCACGCCGAGTGGAACTTAAAAGTAGTTCAAGTATGTTTTATAGTTTACTTTCTCAATTAGTTCAGAATGACAATATTCTTCTTTATTCAAAGCTCTACGAAACCTCTCTTGTTCGTCATGGTTTGATGGTGCTTGGACCAACGGGAGCTGGAAAAACGCAGTGTATGTGGACGCTTATGAGAGCCTTGACAGAAATGGGTATGCCGCACAAAGAAGTTAGAATGAATCCCAAAGTAAGTTACTTCTTTTAACGTCCAGACAAACCTCGCTGTCAAGAGGTTCAATTTGTTCAATTTTAAGAATTTTTTCACAGGCCATAACTGCGTCCCAAATGTTTGGAAGGCTTGATGTAGCGACAAACGACTGGACTGATGGAATATTTTCCACTATATGGAGAAGATCCACACATACAAAGAAAAATGAAAATCTATGGATGGTTCTGGATGGACCTGTAGACGCAGTATGGATTGAGAACCTTAATTCTGTCTTGGATGACAATAAAACATTAACTTTAGCTAATGGTGATCGTATAATCATGGCGTCGAACAGTAAATTAGTCTTTGAGCCTGATAACGTTGATAATGCATCACCGGCTACGGTATCACGTATGGGAATGGTGTTCATGAGTGCTTCCGTGTTAAAGTGGAGTCCTATTTTAGAGGTATATCACTTTAAGAGTTGTGAACCATGTATCAGTATTAAATATTGTTCATTTGGTTAATCGTTAGGGGTGGTTCAAAAAACGACCACCTGCGGAGGTAGATGTATTGCGTGGGTTCTTTAACAAAATATACAACGATGCTCATACATTTGTTCAAACAAAGCTTCCAGTAAAAATGGTTCTTTTAGAAGCTATATACATAAGACAATGCATAGATTTATTGGAGGGTTTGCTCGGTAAAAGTGATAACCATGATTCAAGTATGTTGCCTACTTCTTTTATAATTGTGAGTCATTATACACAAATCCTTTATCTGCCATCTATTACTTTCAGAGATATTGTCAGATCATCATATTGAAAAAATATTCCTGTTTTCACTTATGTGGAGTTTAGGAGCGGTGTTAGAATTAGAGGAACGTAACATGTTACAGGACTTTTGTGTTCGTCACGAATCAAAATGTCATTGGCCCCACTGTCAGGTAATTGTACATGGGATAATAACTTAATGAAGAAATAGGAATAGTTGCCATAATTCACTATAGGAAGACGAAACTATCTTTGAGTACTTGGTATCGGATGACGGACATTGGATACATTGGTCTAAAAAGGTCCCAGAGTTTACATATCCATCAGATGAAGTTCTGAATTATTATTCAATTCTGGTTCCAAACATAGATAATACGAGAACGTTGTTTTTAATCGATACTATTGCAAAGCAGAAGAAGGCTGTACTATTGATAGGTATGAAGTTTAAGTATAATTCATTTCAAGTTGAAAATTAATCTACCCTGTTTTCTTATTAACATTTTAGGAGAACAGGGTACGGCGAAAACTGTAATGATTAAAGGTTACATGGCCAATTACGATCCCGAAGAGCATTTGTATAAATCTTTTAGTTTTTCTTCAGCCTCTACGCCCAACATGGTTCAGGTAGCTTTACTTTTAAACACAACTTAGTAAATAAAATTTAATGATCTTGCATAAAATTATGCAGCGTGTATTTGAGAGTTATGTGGAGAAAAGAGTCGGAAATACCTATGGACCTCCAGGTAGTCGCAAGATGACCATCTTTATCGACGATATAAACATGCCAGAAATAAATGAATGGGGTGATCAAATTACGAACGAGATTGTTCGTCAATTGATGGAATACGGAGGCTTTTATTCGTTAGATAAGCCGGGTGATTTTTGTATTTTACAAGAAATTCAGTTAATCGCTGCCATGATTCACCCAGGCGGTGGTAGAAACGATATCCCCCCGAGATTGAAAAGACAATTTAACATATTTAATTGTACACTACCTTCAAATAAATCAATGGATACGATTTTCAGTAAGTGCACCATCAATGGAGTCGTTGGAAAGTTCTTTAACACTTATTTAACAATTTAAAGGATCCATTGGTGAAGGATACTTCTGCAGCAGCAGATTTGAAGAAATTATCGTGAACTTCTTACCAAAATTGGTACCTTTGACCAGGGTGTTATGGCAGCAGACCAAGTTGAAGATGCTGCCAACACCAGCAAAGTTTCATTACGTTTTTAATCTAAGAGATCTATCTCGAATTTGGGAAGGTATACTCAGAATCGAGAGAGCTGAATGCGACTCTGTAACCCGACTGCTGAAGCTTTGGGAACACGAGTGTACTCGTGTAATCGCTGATCGGTTGGTTACCATTTTCACTTAACTCAACATACAATAACTTCCTTTCATTTGTTAGATTTACATCGAGTACAGATACCCAGTGGTTCCAAGCCACGTTAAGACGCACAGCTGAGAAGATGTTAGGTTCCGATTTTAGTTATTACATTGCCACTGAAACTTATTTTGTCAACTTCCTGCGTGAACCACCGGAACCCACCGGGGACGAGCCAGACGATTTTGTATTAGAAGCGCCGAAAATCTACGAAGAAATACCAAGGTATAATTTAATCCTAAGTTATCTTCAATTATCCATTTTCGTTCGTTTTCTTCTTTTTATAGTTATGATGCTGTGATCGCGAAAGTTCGTCAAAACATGGATCAATTCAACGAGTATATTCGTGGAATGCAACTTGATTTAGTGTTCTTCCACGATGCACTTGTGCATCTGATTCGTATATCGAGAATCCTTGGTGTTCCCAGAAGCAATGCAATGCTCGTAGGTATTGGAGGATCAGGCAAACAGAGTCTAACACGTTTGGCTTCTTTTATTGCCGGTTTTAGTTTCTTCCAAATAACGTTAACCAGGTAATTAGTGAAGGAGCAATAGAAATAAATATAGCCTATGATAACAGCATCTAATATGATCATTTTGTCTTTAGGAGTTACAATGTTGGAAGTTTAATAGAGGATCTGCGGAAGGTTTACCATGCAGCGGGTACAGGGAGCAGAGGGCAGACGTTTATATTCACCGACAACGAAATAAAAGAAGAAGCTTTTCTAGAATACATCAACAATATTCTAAGTGTCGGGGAAGTTGCAAATCTCTTCCCTCCTGATGAACTTGACGAAGTCGTAACAGAATCCATTCCATTGATGAAGATTGACGATCCAAGGTGTCCACCGACGCCGGATAATCTTTATCGTTATTTTATATCACGCGCACGAAATCAATTGCACGTAGTTCTTTGCTTCTCACCAGTGAGTAACTTTATTATTTGATCTTAGGACGTTTGATGAAGTTATTGGAAGCAAATAGAAAGTCGTGGAAATTTTATTTAACAATTTTAACAGGTTGGAGAGAAATTCAGATCTCGGGCATTAAAGTTCCCTGCCCTGATATCTGGCTGTACAATTAATTGGTTTTGGAAATGGCCAAGAGATGCATTATATGAAGTGAGTAATCACTTTTTGGAAAAGTACAAGGTGATATGCACTCCAGAAATAAAGCGTCAATTAATTGAAGTTATGGGAGACATACAAGATGATGTTAACGATACTTGCATGAAATACTTTGATAGGTAACATTATATTGAATTATTAAAATTCATTGCATGCACACATATATATTTGCTTTCCAGATTTCGAAGAGAGACATACGTTACTCCAAAATCATTTCTTACATTTTTGGTTGGATACAAGATACTATACAAACAACGTTTGGACAATATTAACATGCTTGCTTTCCGTATGAGCAGTGGTTTGAACAAATTAGTGGATGCTGCGGCTCAGGTCGATGAATTGCGAAAGGTCTTAGAAAAGAATCAGCAGGAAATCGCGGAAAAGAACGTGCAAGTGGAAGCTGTTCGTAGATTTCTTCATTAATAAATTGAATTTAATTAAGTATCGTCCACTTTAATCACGCTGTTTGTAGATTCTAGTCACTGTTAATCAGAAGAAAAGCGAAGCAGAGACAGTGAAAGCAAAAGTTCAAGTTTCCAAAGAAGAGGCTGAGACCATCTTAAAAGTAATCGCGAAAGAAAAGTCTGCAGCGGAACAGAAATTGAAAGCTGCTGAACCTGCGTTGCTTGCAGCAGAATCTGCATTACAGGTCAGCCCTGTTTTCACAATTATTGATCTGGATTTTTATAAAATCGTACTGCATTTTCTAAACCCATTAAAATAACGTTTGTAGACTATAAAAGCTGCTGATATTGCTACCGTTCGAAAACTAGGAAAACCACCTTACTTAATTACTCTTATAATGGATTGTGTGATAATATTGTTTGGAAGAAAATTAGAACCAGTTAAACCTGACTATGATCGGCAATTTTTAACGCCTTCTTGGCCAGAAGCTTTAAAAGTATCGTCTTTTGTTTTTGAAATTAGAGCGATATTTGAAGTTCAAGATAGTGATTTTAACTATCATGTTTGAAGGTGATGGCTGATACAAGGTTTCTGTACAATTTGCAAAATTTTCCGAAGGATAACATCAACGCAGAAACTGTTGATTTAATGCAACCTTATTTAAGTTATCATTTGTACACTTATGAGGCTGCAAAGCAGGCTTGCGGAAATGTTGCTGGTCTTATTCAGTGGACTATTTCGATGGTTACATTTTATGGGATAAATAAAGATGTTCTTCCTTTGAAAGTAACTTCTATTCTACCTAGAAAAATAAAATATTACTCTATAGCCAGTGTTCATAGTTAGACTAACGATTTTGTTGATCACAGGCGAATTTAGCTGTTCAAGAAAGCAAATACGAGAAAGCGAATCGAAACTTGTCGGAAGCTGAAAGTCTTTTGAAAGCCAAAGATGAAGATTTGAAAGTGGTACAACAAGAATATGATGGAGTGATGGAAGAGCGTCAAGTAATTTACTAAACACATGTGAATAATGAAATTGATACTACAGATAATATTCAATGAGGTGTATTTTGTTAGAAAATAGTTGATCTAGCTGAAATTTGCCAAGCAAAAACAGATACAGCGACTGCAATGATCGAAGGACTTTCGGGTGAAAGGGTCAGATGGACCGAACAACTGGCTACGTTTAAATCAGAAACTGATCGTCTTGTTGGAGACATTTTGATTCTAGTCGGTTTCTTGTGCTATTGTGGACCCTTTAATCAGGAATTTAGAAATCTATTACAGCGACGGTGGTTTGACTTCATTCAAGCTCGAAAAATTCCAATTTCTCTCACAATCAATATTACGAATTCTTTAATCGATACTGCTACAGTGAGTAGTATATTAAATATTTAATACTCGGGATAATACATAAAGCTGTATCTCTGTATTTTATTTAAAGATCGGAGAATGGAGTTTGCAAGGCCTACCGACAGATGATTTATCCATTCAAAATGGAATCATAGTAACGAGAGCAAATAGATACCCTCTTTTAATAGATCCTCAATTGCAAGGTAAAGCGTGGATTAAGAACAAAGAGGAAGACTTTTCTTTGCAGGTAGATTCTTTCATTCTCATGCTTATTGAAATAATTTATTTATTGTAACGTTTTATTTCAGGTAACACTTATTACACACAAGTATTTTAGAAATCATTTAGAAGATTGTGTTTCTCTTGGTCGTCCTTTGCTTATTGAAAATGTGGGAGAAGAGTTAGATCCAGTGTTAGATAACTTACTAGAGAAAAATTTCATAAAGATAGGAACCTCGTTAAAGGTATAGTATTTGTACTCGTATTGTAATAAAAATATAAATTGATTATTTCAACAGGTCAAATTAGGAGATAAAGAAGTGGATATCCATCAGGATTTCAGACTTTATATCACCACAAAATTGCCAAATCCATCATACAGCCCAGAGATATTTGCTCGTACTGCTATAATTGATTTTACTGTTACCATCAAAGGTATTTAATTTACTTGCAATTTTCTTTTATATACATATCAATGCTTATTTGTACTTATAGGATTAGAAGATCAATTATTAGGAAGAGTGATATTAACCGAAAAGAAAGAACTTGAAACGGAGAAGACACAATTGATAGCAGATGTATCTGCAAATAATAGAAAGATTAAAGAATTGGAAGCTAATTTGCTACATAAATTAACCATTGTGGAGGTATATCAGTTCATGTTACAAGAACATTGTAAACTGTATATAATCATTTTAATTTCATTTACGTTCAGGGTCCCTTGATAGAAGATGTAGAATTAATGTCTGTATTAAACATTACGAAACAAACGGCAGCCGAAATAAACGAGAAGTTAAATATCGCAAAAGATACGGAATTAAGAATTGACACCGCACGAGAAGAATTTAGGCCTGTCGCAACACGTGGCAGTGTTCTATACTTTTTAATTTGCGATATGACTCTGGTCAATTGCATGTATCAAACTTCGCTCGTGCAATTTTTAGAACGTTTTGATATTTCTATGGAAAGGTATGCATTATACTTGTTCAGTTAATTTACAATCAATTAGCCCTGATGAACTTGAAAGTGTTCGTTTATTTTAGATCCGAGAAGAGTCCAGTTAATCAGAGAAGAATAGTTTATATCATTGAATATCTCACGTATGAAATATTCAGATACAAAGCGCGAGGTCTTTATCAGATACATAAATATATGTTCAGCTTGTTAATGACACTGAAGATCGATCTACAGCGTGAGGCTATTACTTATGATGAATTTCAGTATCTCATCAAAGGCGGTGCGGCTTTAGATTTAAATAATGTTACACCAAAACCTTGCAAATGGATTTCTGATGTCAGCTGGCTCAATTTAGTCGCGCTTTCTTCTTTGAGACAGTTTCAATACATTGTTTCTCAAGTACCAGCTTCTGAGAAACTTTGGAAAAGTTGGTTTGATAAACCGGCCCCAGAAGAAGAAGTGATACCAAATGGATATAATAATTTGGATACTTTTCGACGCTTATTGTTAATAAGGTTGATTTAAATTCGTCATTTATTTATTGTACGAGTGCCAGATTGCTTTGTATTTAATGCTTACAATTTATAGAGCTTGGTGCATGGACAGAACGTTATCACAATCACGAAAGTATATCGCCCATTCATTAGGAGAAAAATATGCGGAACCTGTTATTACTCGTTTGGATATAATGCACAGTGAATCAAGGCCAGATACACCAATGATTTGCTTCCTAAGTATGGGGTCGGATCCGACTCCTGGTATCGAACAACTTGCTAGGAGATTGGAGGTTCGATGCAAAAGTATTTCAATGGGTCAAGGACAGGAAGTTCATGCGCGGAAATTGCTTCAAAGCGCCAAAACTGAAGTTTGTTTATTTATATGAATAGTACAAGAGAATTTATGTTTGAAATTGACACCGTAGATTTGAACAACGTGTAAAAAATGTTTCAGGGTTACTGGGCATTATGTCAAAATTGTCATTTAGGTTTAGAATACATGGAAGAATTGATTCTTTTTATTTCGGAGATGGAGGATCCAGATCCTAATTTTCGTATATGGATCACTACAGAACCCCATAAACAATTTCCAATATCTCTTCTTCAAATGTCCATAAAATATACTTATGAACCTCCACAAGGTACATATCTATTTTTTCAAATTGGTATTTTATACTATAAATGTATGTATTGTTTGATTGTAGGGGTACGAGCCGGTTTGCTTTCTACGTATAGTGGGATGAATCAAGACATGCTAGATCAGTGTGATGCTCCACAATATATACCAATTATATATACAGTATCATTTTTGCATACTGTTGTTCAAGAACGACGAAAATTTGGACCTCTCGGTTGGAATATACCATACGAATTTAATCTGTCCGATTGGTTGGCATCTTGCATATTCATTAACAACCATTTGAATGATGCTGACATAAAACAAGGAATTAGTTGGCAGACTGTTAGGTAAAAGAAAAACTGGCTTGACAAATAGTTCGGCTGATAATAGGTCTATTTAATTTTTAGATATATGATAGGAGAGGTGCAATACGGAGGACGTGTCACAGATGACTATGACAAAAGATTATTAAACACATTTACCAAAATTTGGTTCTCAGAGGCACTATTTTCTGAGGATTTTGTATTCTACAAAGGATATTCGGTCCTTGTTTATAAGCAAGTTACAGATTACTTGAAGGTAGTAGAAGAAATGGCTTCTATAGATCCACCTCAAGTTTATGGTTTGCATCCTAATGCAGATATTACGTGAGTAATGTTTCTTTAGTTTAGTTAACTTATTTAATTTACTGAAAATATTAACACAATTACAGATATCAAGCAAGTACTACACAAACTGTATTAGATACAATAATGTCTGTGCAACCGAAAGAGGCGGGCGCTGAGGGTGGTGAATCTAGAGAAGCACTTGTAACCAGACAATCAAAGGATATGCTAGAAAAATTACCACCACCTTATGATCCATTTGAAGTAAAATATAGGTCGGTTTTGAAGCATTTCTTATAGTTCTACTAACTAATTCAAATTGCAATATTATAGATTACAGATATTAGGTAGTACTGCACCAATGAATATTTTCTTAAAGCAAGAAATTGATAGAATAGAAGTAGTTATTGAACTCGTGAATAAGATGCTCAACAATCTTCTACTTGCCATAGAAGGTGTTATAATAATGAGTGAGGTAATGTTTTTTAAATGATTGTATACACAATGGAACGAAATTAAACATATGAACACATTTAGGAATTGAGAGATGCTCTTGATAATATATATGATGCCAGGATACCAAAAGCATGGAAAGCTAAGTCATGGGAATCTTCCACTCTTGGGTTTTGGTTTACTGAACTATTAGATAGAAATAAGCAATTTTCTACTTGGTTGAATAGTGGAAGGCCTGTCAAATTCTGGATGACCGGATTCTTTAATCCTCAAGGTATATAATTACTAATAAATTATATTTATGCACCAATACATTATACCTTTTGTTGTATAGGATTTCTTACTGCAATGCGTCAGGAAGTAACAAGAGCTCATAAAGGATGGGCTCTAGACAATGTTACATTACATAATGATGTTTTACGATATTCAGTAGAAGAAATAAAGACCCCACCTCACGTATGTTATATGAGACGTTATTATTAAACAGGAGATGTTACTAATAAATAAAAAATTGTTGCTATATTTTAGGAGGGAGTATATGTGTATGGATTATACCTTGAAGGGGCTGGTTGGGATAAAAGAAACAATATATTATGTGAATCAGCAAATAAAGTTTTATACGTGTTAATGCCTGTGATTCATATTTTTGCCTTGTACAACCTTCCAGATAAAGACCCAAAATTATATCAGGTATATATGTATGTAATTATTAATTTATTTAACACGTTTTTATTAACTCACTTTCTTGTCTGACTAAAAAGCAGAAAATAATTATTTAAATAAAAAAAATTTTTAATATACCACGTTTTTAAGACGGACTGAAAGGTCCGTCACTAAAGCCATAGCTATTAAAAATTCACAATCACAAATTTTCAGGACTATCTGTATGGGGTTAGAAATCTGTATGAGGCTAGGAAAAATTATTTTATATTTTTTAGTCCGTCTTAAAAACGTGGTATATTAAAAATTTTTTTTTATTTAAATATAGTTTATTAACATTGTTTCGACTTCACAGTGTCCAGTGTATACAAAGCCAAGTAGAACATACATGCTATTAGTAACACCATTATGGTTACAAACAAAAAGACCACCCGATTTTTGGATTATACGCGGAGTTGCATTACTATGCGATGTTAAATAATTGAATGAGAAAGTAATTAAGAAGAAAATAATTATGAACCATTCTAAATTCATGTACATTTAGTTAAAATAAATAATACGCATTTTAAGAACTTCATGAATTTTTAAATTTAAATTCAAACAAGATATATTGCGCGCCACCTGTAACGCATGCGCGTGCTTTCGCATTTCCGGTTTGGACGCGCGACAGTTAGCAGGTACTCCCGTTATTGGTTGTTTAATTTGTGATTAGTGATTAAAACTACATTAGTTTTATCGAAACTTGTTAAATAATCGTTCGTTTATTTGTTGAGCGTGTAAAGCAATGCGAAATATTTAGTTTTGAAGAGGAAAGTATCTGAAACGGTGTTAGATGTACAATCCGCCTGCAGGATGAGCGTCCTACCATGGTGAGTCTATCTTTCACTTAAATTTTTCCATAGAAAACATGTATTTGTTGTCTCATATGCACTGTATTGTTAATGACATTGTGTGCAATACTTTTATCTGCTTAAAAATGATTGTAACAATGCATTTATAAATTGAGTACGAAATTCGAATCAAGCCGACGCCATCGGTGCATTTCATTGAATCTACACAAGATGGCGGGCCCTCCCGGCTCAATTTAAAAAAGGGAACTTTATTCACGATATCAAAGCAGTATTCTGTAGCATTCGTATTACGCTCTTTTCCGTTAGATGACGCTAGTATACCTTTTTAATTTATAAAAAGCGTCTGCTTGATGTTTATTTTTCAAACTTTGTACGTTGCAATTTTATTAATTATTCCCATTGCGTAATTCGTTATTTTGCAATTAAAAATCACTTAATTACAATATATATGTTATCAGCAATGTATGAAAAACAGGTATTGTATAGAATGCTTAGGAAATATCGATTTTAATCCTGATATAAATATGTAAACAATATTAATTTTCCTCTTAATTAAAATTTTTAATTTAAAGACTTTTCAGGATTTCTTCTTACTTTACTGACTTTTAGAATAATTATTTTGCAAAATCCTTACAATGTCTAGGAAAAGTTTATATAATATTTAAATAATTCAGATACTTCATACTTTACCCAAAAATGCCAGGCATTCCATATATTGCCTACATATATGTACATACACACTTCATTTATTTTATTTCTTTTATCAACTCGTTTCGTTTAATTAATAACAGAACATCAAAAGTTCAGGAGGTATCAATGTAGTTTCCCTCGAGGTGATATTCCACAACCCAAAATATCGAATTCTTTGTTTCCTATAATCTCATTCTGTCGTTTCTAATTCTAACCCGAGTCCAGTAAAACCGATCGATGAGAAATGATCGTAATAATTCGAATGCTAGCCAATCGAGTTGTCTGATCCTGCTCAGATTTCCGCGTAATTCGACGGTCCAATCGGAATAATCGTTAAACCAATGGTACGTGTGTTCTTAACCGTTTCTCGTTTCTACAAACTGCCCTATATTTTCGAGTAACCGAGCCCGAAGCGGTCTGTGACCAAAGCCGAACGTCGATTGTGGTTCGACCGTGTTTCGACTTCGTTCTTCTTGCAAACATCTCGGCCAGTCCATGTCCCGAGAACATCCTTTCGAGTTTTATCCTTTTAGCGATTCGTGTTGCCCTGTGTACGCTATAAATCTCGGTTGACTAGGGATGCTCGGTGTGCCAGGGCAAACTTACGTATGCAGGGGAAGCAAAGTCTCGCGACAACTATTCTTACTGACCTCCTTGCTCGTGCACGGACACTGCCGTTCGAAAGTTCACGCTTCAAACAGACTGGTAGTCCCTGTTTGGTTGGGAAGTAGTTCAACTTCTCTTTTACGAGTGATGTCTATTTACAGGGACATTCGGTAGTTGTTTAGTCTAGGTCCTATTCAAAGTTACATTATTTTATTTGATAAGAAAACGATGGACTTGGAAATGGGTTATTAAATAAATGCAGTCTCTTCAATACTTTGAATTTAAATTTTACTCTGTGGATAACTAGAAGCGATTGACCTGGACAGTCAGAAAGCAAACTGGAGACCTTTTGTCCCTAAGACTGTTTATTGCACTGCTTTGCAATATAGTCTCTTGACTTTTGACAAACACCAAACACATCTGGTGGTCCTTCTCTTCCCTTTACTAGAACAGGGTTTCTCGGTACTTTGAGACATTTTTGATATACTTTCCTTTATCAATTTTAATAACGATTCAACGGACGAAATTCCAATTGCAATTCGAATATTTTCGTGGGCAACTGTATACCCGTCTGGTTAGGAAAGGGTTAATGGTATCTGACATCGGCGCTTACCACGGGCAACGAAAAGCGCCAGTTGCCCAGGCCTGTTCTAGTCAGATAGAGAGAAGTTTCTAGTTGTGGTGTGCGGTCACCGAACACGTTGTCGCGTATGAGAACCCAAGGGACGCGAACGGTTCTGGCCGGTTCGAGGTATGCCCGGGACACGATATGATCGTCCCGACGAGCGCACCTCCGGTGCATGTATGCACCGCGTCACAGTGCAGGCCGCAAGCAACGCGTGCTTGTGAGAAATCGTCACGCAGGGTACTATGGTTCGTCAAAGCAAATCCCTGAATGGTCGTGGTCTAAATAGTTAAGCCAATAGCTGGCCCGCCTCGATGTTTCTACCCCGATTCGACGAAACTTTGCGAACCACCGTGTGCATTCGGTAACTTGCTACGCGAGCAACACTTTGAATCGTGGCCAGAGAAACAATACTCCCGGGCAAATAGATCGTCGTCGATGAATCGGGAACTGAGCGTAAACGATCGTATCTTCCCTCTTAATTTTGCTAGCCGACTTTAAGGCGAAAGCGATCGTCGGGATTTCAGAATCGTGTATTAACGTTCGCAAAATAGCACTCGCGCTGTATCAATTTGAAAATAATATTGTTCGTTCGCCCTGTAAACCCTTATTGCTACGTAAGATTCATTTCGAATCGAGTAGAAATCGTTGGCCCGTTGAAACAGGTCGCTCGAAAGTCCTTTCAACACAGATTCGCGATACCTTGTTCGATAAAGAGCTGCGTGAGAAGTCGACGACGGCTTTTGTAAGCCTACCCAAGCCGTCGACGAAAGGGTAACCGCCTCAAAGACGTATTCACGGTTGTCTTCGTTTCCCAGTTGTCGTCGAGAAAATTGCTACGAGACACAGGGTGAAACGGGTAGATAGAAAAGGTAGAGAAGAGAAACGGAAACAAAGTGTCTCTGGCTGTAAAAGAGGAGCCAGAACGGAACGGTACGGTGTCCACGATACGCGGACCATTAGCGGGATATATTCGAGTGCATGCATTAAATGAACAGACTACCATACCAGTGGAAGCTAGGTGTAAACGCACAAGAGGCAAACGTTTTCCCACGGCACCCTACCGTTGCGTTGATATTGCACCCGTTCCGACGTCGAGGGAACCACCGGCAACGCTTGCAAAATTATCCGATGTACTCTGCTCGTATCGAAACTTTGGATATCACCGGCGATGCTCAGTGGGGGTAGAGAGGTGTACGAGAGGGTGGTTTGTACCGTAGACCGGTTGAATAGAAACGTTCTCTGAGAGATTCCGTGATAGAGGGTAACGCATTCATTCGGTTCTACCGAACTCGCCGCTTCTATGGGACTTTTGTGATTGATAACGAACGGAACGTAGGTGAAAAAAAAAGTTTGGACGAGAGGGCAGAGGGAAAGGGAATGGTCGGTGCAGATTAAAGTTTACCAACGGTGTTTTTATTTGTTCCAAGAGATGAAATTTTCGTGGCCGAGGTAGATGGAGTTGAATATTTATCCCGAATCGTACGTTGCACCTTTGGGTGGCTAACTAATCTGATTAGGATCCGATGGCCAGCACCGGACAACGAAACTGGTAGAAGCATCGTGTCACCTCTATCCACAGGTGGCCAATTAATTTACAAGCGCACACACTTTACGTGACATCGATTGATATCCCCCTCTCTTAGCATGGAATCAACCCCTTCGGCCTAACAGCACAGCTTGGCCCTCACCCTTTTCAAGTGTACCTACAAGGGTACCAGGCACGTGGCCCAGACTCGACCAACCTCTACTAGAAGTTCGAAACTGTGTCGGCCTCGTGTTCACCAAATGCGTCCATTGTTTCTTCGTTCCCAAGGATTTTCTCGATAAAGCGAACGTGACGATCCTTTTCTCGTTTACGAGGTGATTTATCCTCGCGTGTAGTCCGGGACGCTGAAGAACCGGGATATTAAACATTCTAACGTTTCTGAATTCTACTGCTTTCTAGAATATCTCCCGTAGGAATTGCCGGGGTTATTTATGACGATGCTAGAGAACAGGAAATTTCAAATGTCACGCTATTGAATGAATATTAGATACCTTAAAAATTTAGTAAGAAAATTAACGTCACCGATTTTCCGATAATTTATCATTCGAATTGAATTTTGAATACTTTTATCATTTTTATATCGTAAAGGGTGTACAGTAACGTTAGGTGATCGAGCATCTTCCCTTTAAAGTTTTCTCAGCATTTTCGTTTCTTAAACTCTTTCCCCGCTTCGTAAGGTTATTCTCCGAGCGACAAGTCTCGGGGAAAATTGTTGAATTTCAAGCAGATATATTCGGAACAAAGCGCATCATCGATGCCGGGTTTTCCAGTTTCCTAACGCGACGCGTTTTCCCCCCCCTCTTTTTTCTCCCCCGCTTTTGAACACTTGTTGCTCGCCGCATCGCGACCGTGAAATCGATTTCGTTCGCGGCCCCGATATCCGGTGACAAGAGGTTCCTGCGATTTTCCAGAACGCAACCCCCCGCGACGACAGGCTTCGCACGCAGACAGTCCTCTCTGAAACCGCGCTACGACCTCGAACTTCCGAACATCGAGCTCGTTTCCGCTTTTACGGATTATCCTCGGAGAGAGTTAGGGCGATCGTTGCCAGCGAGGTCGTTCCCTCGTACAACTGAAATTGCATCCTCGAAGCCGGACAACGCAATAATCCATCGGACGGCTGCTTTGCCGGATGAAAAGAAGCGAGTCGCAGCCTCTAAAGCGCTCAAGAAGTCCGTAAACCAGAGATTCGTTTATCTTTTTTCTTGTTGCTTCTTTCGTTCGCTTG